TAGAGTAATGGATGTCTGCAATTTTGAGAAAAAGCTAGACAGTGTGAATCGGAAGTGTTGTTTGTTTACATTTCCAACAAGCGCAGTCTTACGTACACAGCGTTCGTTTTCACTCTTAACATGTTTCTTTTGATTTCATCTTAAAGCTTGACACTTGGGATTAGTAACCATTTATTTGATTCTAAAATGTATGAGTTGCCATCCTCCTCCCCATCATCATCATCATCATCATCACTTCCATCTAATTCGGTGACAGTATCTTCTAAAATGTCCACCAACTGTCGAGGAAGGATGTCTCCATCAGTTCACTTTGGCTGCACGACACCATTCTCGAATGTCCATCCGTGACCAGCCATGGGATCAGGTAAAACCGGATCTGGAATATGTGCTTGCCTCCATATCAACACCTGATAATATTTACCCGACTCACGTGTTGTGTCAAACAGCTTTTACAGGGAGGTATAGTCTGTTTGCAGTGAAAACGTACCGATGCATTTCACTTTAAACAAAAAAGTAAATCAAATAAAGTGACATTAAGAATGCGAATCCTCATAATTTTGCCTTGGCAACTCAATATTTAAATCTCAGAATTTTATTCATTGTAGGACAAAAGTTGTTTAACAAACGATCATACATTCAAATCGCTATTATTGGTTTGTATTACAAGGGGGCAAGAGCAGTAGTTGGAACAGTGAAACAAATGCACGTCCAAATTCAGAAAACAAGAACAAAACGACTTGGGTCACAAAATCTGGTGTGAGACTAAGCTGATGAATGAGATGAAATTACACAGCGATGTGATTGAGAACAGCAGCGAGGTGTGTGACGCTGTCTGAGATTCAGGAGAAGAAGGCAAGAAAAGAAGCGAGATCTGAGAGACAGGAAATGCACGTGCGGTAGGGTGGGTGATCGGGCGGGCAGGAAGGTGGGCGAGTGATCGGGCGGGCGGGTATGTGGATGATCGGGCGGGTATGTGGATGATCGGGCGGCTTGACCAACCCTTAGGCTACTTGTTCTCGGTGTTTCATTTAATGTGCATACACCCTTGTAATACAAACCAATAATAGCGATTTGAAACTATGATCGTTTGTTAAACAACTTTTATCCTAAATTGAATAAAATTCTAAGATTTAAATGTTCAGTTGGCAAGGTAAAATTATGAGGATTCGCAATCTTAATTTCATCTTATTCGATTTAATTTTTTGCTTAAATTGACATTCATCGGTACGTTTTCCCTGCAAACAGACTATAGAGATTCTCCATTCCGAAAACAAGAGAACGGACGCTAAAACAATCAGAAGCTGTCGACTTACCAGAGTGCCAAATTGCAAAAAGAAGGAGCCCTTTGTATAAAGCTGTCAATAGGTCAGTAGATGGAGGGAAAGAAGCATATGAGAAGATCGTCATGAAGAATATGCTTTGACTTCTTATTCGTCTCGATGCTGCAAAGACCAGTCAGAGTGTTCCAGGATGAGGTGGCTTTGTGTCATTGACAGGGAAGACACCACCAAAACTCACAACTGTCGAGTATTACCCTATCATACCGCATCCGACCACAGAGTACAAAGGAGTGAAGGAATGTCTCAGCCAAGCAGAATAGGATACAAGAGAAGTTGGTCAACAGTATGTCATCACAACCTTCGATCTCGAAGACTGCATGAAAGCGTATCCATTGGTTTGGACCAATCCGAACCGATATGCAGACCACAGAATCGTGATTGGGACTTTCCACTTAACATGAGCAAATCTCAAGATGATTGGAAAGAAGATGGCTGAGACAGGACTCGATGACATTCTTCTTGAAGCAGACTTAATCTCTGGTGCTGCAGAACTAAATATACACACGATCAAACTATCCTCCGTGCATCTTTCATAGTTTTAAACACTTTTCCAGGTGATTGATTTCACTATGGATACCGTTTGCTTAGGGACAAGACAGGATATAATCATGATCTAAGGGAGTTAACTGTTGCCTGTTTCGCTCGGAAAACAAAGGCGTCATAACACTTATACTTTAAGTGTGAGGAAAATGACTACGTTTTCAAACCTCGATCTTACTATTTCTAAATTGCCGTTTGGTTTCACGTAAAAAAGGCGTAAAAGTTTTGAGCACTTGCAGCAAGTGTGTGTTGTCGAAACCAGTCGATATAAACTGCCTCAACAATCAATGCACCTCTAAGGCAGCGTACACTTACAATGTACACTTACACTGGTCACCGAGATATATATGTACACTTACACTCATCACGATAATATCTCTGTACATTTACACTGGTCACTATAATATCTCTGTACACTTACATTGGTCACCGTGATATATCTGTACCTTTACACTGGTCACTATAATATCTCTGTACACTTAAACTGGTCACCGTGATAAACCTGTACACTTACACTGATCACTATAATATATCTGTACCTTTACACTGGTCACTATAATATCTCTGTACACTTACACTGGTCACCGTGATATATCTGTACACTTACACTGATCACTATAATATATCTGTACACTTACACTGGTCACTATAATATCTCTGTACACTTACACTGATCACCGTGATATATCTGTACACTTACACTGATATATCTGTACACACACTGATCACCATAATATCTCTGTACACTTACACACTGGTCACTATGAATATCTCTGTACTCACCGTGATATATCTGTACACTTACACTGGTCACTATAATATATCTGTACACTTACACTGGTCACTATAATATATCTGTACACTTACACTGGTCACTATAATATATCTGTACACTTACACTGGTCACTATAATATATCTGTACCTTTACACTGGTCACTATAATATCTCTGTACATTTACACTGGTACACTATATCTGTACCGTGGTCACTATATATGTACATTTACACTGGTCACCGTGATATATCTGTACACTTACACTGATCACTATAATATATCTGTACACTTACACTGATCACTATAATATATCTGTACATTTACACTGGTCACTATAATATCTCTGTACACTTACACTGGTCACAGTGATATATCTGTACACTTACACTGATCACTATAATATATCTGTACACTTACACTGATCACTGTGATATATCTGTACACTTACACTGGTCACTATAATATCTCTGTACACTTACACTGATCACCGTGATATAACTGTAGATTTACACTGGTCGCCGTGATATATCTGTACACTTACACTGGTCACTATAATATCTCTGTACACTTACACTGATCACTATAATATATCTGTACACTTACACTGATCACTGTGATATATCTGTACACTTACACTGATCACTATAATATATCTGTACACTTACACTGTTCACTATAATATCTCTGTACACTTACACTGATCACCGTGGTATATCTGTACACTTACACTGATCGCTATAATATCTCTGTACACTTACACTGATCACTATAATATCTCTGTACCTTTACACTGGTCACTATAATATCTCTGTACACTTACACTGGTCACCTTGATATATCTGCACACTTACACTGGTCACTATAATATATCTCTACCTTTACACTGGTCACTATAATATCTCTGTACACTTACACTGGTCACCGTGATATATCTGTACACTAACATTGATCACTACAATATCTCTGTACACTTACACTGATCACTATAATATCTCTGTACACTTGCACTGGTCACTATAATATCTCTGTACACTTACACTGATCACCGTGATATATCTGTACACTTACACTGATCACTATAATATCTCTGTACACTTACAATGGTCACTATAATATCTCTGTACACTTACACTGATCACCGTGATATATCTGTACACTTACACTGGTCACCGTGATATATCTGTACACTTACACTGGTCACCATGATATATCTGTACACTTACATTGATCACTTTAATATATCTGTACACTTACCCTGGTCACCGTGATATATCTGCACATTTACACTGATCACCGTGATATATCTGTACGCTTACACTGGTCACCGTGACATATATGTACACTTACACTGATCACTAAAATATATCTGTACAATTACACTGGTCACCATGATATATCTGTACATTTACACTGGTCGCCGTGATATATCTGCACATTTACACTGATCACCATGATATATCTGTACATTTACACTGGTCACCATGATATATCTGTACACTTACACTGATAACTAAAATATATCTGTACATTTACACTGATCACCATGATATATATGTACACTTATACTGATCACTAAAATATATCTGTACACTTACACTGGTCACCGTGATATATCTGTTCATTTACACTGGTCACTTAAATATATCTTAACACTTACACTGGTCACTGTGATATATCTGTACATTTACACTGGTCACTGTAATATATCTGTACACTTACACTGGTCACCGTGATATATCTGTTCATTTACACTGGTCACTTAAATATATCTTAACACTTACACTGGTCACTGTGATATATCTGTACACTTACAATGGTCACTGTAATATATCTGTACACTTACACTGGTCACCGTGATATATCTGTTCATTTACACTGGTCACTTAAATATATCTGTACACTTACACTGGTCATCGTGATATATCGGTACACTTACAATGGTCACTATAATATATCTGTACACTAACAATGGTCACTATTATATATATGTACACTTACAATGGTCACTATAATATATCTGTACAGTTACAATGGTCACCGTGATATATCTGTACACTTACAATGGTGATAGTGATATATCTGTACACTATCGATTCGGTGTAAGTCAAGGAACTCAATGTCCTCAGATGATATGTGAACACCCAGTTGATCAAATTCTTCATGATCAAAATCGCCACTGACATGTACCTAAGACTGACCTCACTCCTGGCGTTCAGTGGAGAGCGGAACCCCGGTGACATTAATGCCTAAAGCTGCGGGATTTACCTGTTGGACTGATTACAGGTATATACAGGTGTGGAGCTCCTCCTTGCTGGCACACCAGCCAGGCAATCCATACAGGTAATATATAGATAAAGTATATCTATCGTACGGGATACGAGCACACAAGGTGAGAGAGACACATTGACAGGATTGAGACAAGCTGACGTTGAGTACAGATCACAACAGGCCTGAAACAGAACAAGATTGGTCGCTATTTACATTAACAGGTTTGTCTTGATAACGAATGCTTTATATTATGTCCACCCAAAGCGTAATTGAATTACAACATTTTTGAAAATCTTTGAAGTGTTTGACGTAAACATTGTAAACCGGATTACCTTAACAGTACAGTAAGTTACGTAGCTCTGAATAATACTTGTTTAAACATCGTGAAGATTTTCTTTTTAATTCCTTTGCAGGCATTTTGTTTTTTCAAATTTAACTACACACAGCCATATCAGTGACTGAATATGTCTCAATTGAGGATGATTCTTGGCAGTTAAAATTTCAGGCCTGTTAAATTGAATTACAAAGGATCGCCGATAACCAACGCTGGCGAATGGTGAAAGTTTCATGCAAAATCAAGTGCCAGTATTGATTTGCAATTTAAATATTTACCTACCATGACAAACCGAACGAAACTTGAGTGATTACTGGTAACTCCAGCCATAACGACTTCCTCATCAGCGTACTGAACGTTGCCGACTGATTTACAACGTCGACTTACACAAACTGTCAGAGAAATACTGTGAGCGATATCTTTAACGGGAGCAATCGGAACAGGTTGACTTGTGTATTGCACAGTAGCAAACATTGGTCAAATGTATGAGAGTACGGTTTTATTATCTTAAGAGACGGACACATACGCATTTAGCCTCCCAAAAGATAACACATTTTCTACCAAATGATGAAACTTCTGAATCACACTGCAAACATAGCGGGAAGTTTAGGACCGTAATTGATTTCTCAGTAAACACCCAACCCTGGGAACTGTCCACCTGTGCCCCGTCTTTGAATCAGATGGCCAATTCCACCCCAAACTTTGTGCGCCGCGCCAGGATGCCATCGGTCGATTCTGTGCTAGGCACGTGCGGAGCAGACGACAGTAGCAGACGAGATCAACGTGCCGTCAGACGACACGCTTATTCAGACCCAGAGGTACATTTACCGGCTGGGAAGCAAAAACACGAAGAGGGGACTAGCTTCCGGTCTATCGTTAGTCATTTGCTGCGCAGGCGCAGCACAAATGTTTCAGTCCTTTCAAATGAAGAGACGGAGAACCCTGCAACACTCAGAACGGTGATGGAGAAAATATTTATTCATGGAGAAAAAACGTCAAACAAAATGATTGAGTCTCGACGTCGCCTTTCGTTTGCTGACGTTATCTACACACAGTCGACATATCAGCGCGTGCTGGAGAGAAGACGTGCAAGACTGACACTGATGAAGAAAGCAAATAACAAGGTTGGTACCAGGGAGTGTGTTTCATATACATGAGAGGGATGTGCGTGTGCGTGTGCGTGTGCGTGTGCTTGTCTATGTTTATTCAATGTTGCAGTTGCAAATATTTCAGGACCCGTAAAGTGCCGGGTTTTAATTGGTCTTCATTAACCCGTGCTTGTCGTAAGAGGCGACTAAAGGGATCGGGTGGTCAGACTCGCTGATATGGTTGACACAGGTCATCGTATCCCAATTGTGTAGATCGATGCTCATGTTGTTGATCACTGGATTGTCTGGTCTGGGGATATTTCTGAGTGCGGCGTTAAACAAAAAACAATCTCAGCAGTTGGCCGGTCATATCAAAGAGTGAGTAACTATAACGCAGCTTTGACGGCGGGGACACAGGAATGGGATTTTCAAGATTTAACCACAGGCCCCTAGGCAGATAAGATAGGCAGATAATGAAAGTATAGACAGATGAATGGTTATTGAACTTTATTCAGTCAGCATCTATCAGAAGGACCAATGGCAATGTTATATCATTTATATAATGACGTTTATATTGCACACATGTATGGCTTTTTATGTCAGATAAGTACAAACTTTATGGATAAACTACTTCTTTATTCAGGTGATGGACGTATCGATACAGATTCTTGTATCGTTGTAGCAGGATACAAAAATCTGTATCGATACGTCACATCACTTGAATAAAGAAGTTGTTCATCCATAAAGTGTGTACTTATCCGACTCTCCAACTTCTAAAAATGCCGCTCAAAGAAGTGATTTCTTCAGGAGAACCCGAGAACAGTTTTATGATTAGGAAATGTGACCAGAGATAAGCCAGGTGCTGAGATGTGTAAATCCCTTGTAATTGACATAAAACGCTAAAGCATATCGACACTTCATGTGTAGGAAGTCTCGCAAATGCCATATCTTTAAGCCGAAATATACATTCGTAGCCTTTCGCGCATGACTGAAGCACGCTCACGTGATCAAGCTGTTTCCTGTAAACTCAAATGACAACAACAGCTACAATGTTCACAAAAGTACGCTTAATCCATCATAATCTCTGATCTCAAAGTTAAACAAATTTACCTCGTGAAATACCATCAAAGATAAAATAGAAAATATTTGAAGAAACCATGTTCAAACAACCAAGAACATATACGCTTAATGGCTGACTTCAAGTGGTGCCGTAGTTGGCATTAGTTCTGGGTTTGCGGCGTCCTATGGGGCGTGATGAAAACGAGAGGAGTGTAATTGTGCACTGTAATACGGGTTCTAATTGGGAATGCGATCAGAGAAGCTCCGTCGGCGAAGAAAACCGCCGTCAGCATGGTGAGTGTTAAGTGCGAACATTACTGCGATTGTGGGGTGGGGGTCTGAAGTATAAAGTGTTTTGTTGTTAAGACTTACTGATGACATTAAATTATTAATGCCTGGTGGTCACTGTTCAGACATTACAATGTGCCTCATCGGCTTTGAAAGAGACACTGTTTTCATGTTTGTGAAGCTAGGTTTCTCGGGACAACACTAACTAACAAACACACCAATACACATTGTGTTGAAATTTGGGAATGATTCTCATTATGTCGCATGCACATGCTTGCACTATACGTGGACGCCTGTGTCATCAGGCTTTCAGTTATCCGTTCATCGATATTTCGCCTCTGTGCCCAATGTAATCTCTTCGGGCGGATAATCGAGACTCGTGTTGTAGTTTTATATTTACTGTTTGCAATGTCGGTTTTGTACGTTTTGCTGTGTTTTCACTAATCATACTTTTCCCAGTATATTTATGAGGGTCTGCAATCCAGAAAAAACGTAATATAACAAAAATATGTTCATTTCGTCAGCTTAAATTTGAAGAAATGGCTAATGTGTAAGACGTGTATGTTAAGTTGTGCTTAACGTTTTCCAGATGTATAGTTTATCATCACATACACTCTTTAATTCAGAGCCCAATTGAAATACGAAAAATCGTGAAAAACATGGTTGTGTATTTCTTGCAAATAACCTTTACCCTTTTACCTTTACCTGAGTGTCTCCGGCCTTATATGTCATGAGAGGCGGCGGGGTAGCCTAGTGGTTAAAGTGTCTGCTCGGCACGCTGAAGACCCGAGTTCGATTCCTCACATGAGCACTGTGTGAAGCCAATTTCTGATGTCCCCGGCCGTGATATTGCTGGGATATTGCTGAAAGCGGACTACAACATACTCACTCACTCAAGTATCATGAAAGTGCATATATCAAATAAAGCTTCACACCTCAGTAGACTGAAACAGAGGCTTCTCGAGATACGTCACCTCCCATCACTCGTTCAAACATTAGGTCAACGAAATGATTTATTTGTTTTCAAATGTAACATGCTCAAAATATTGTTTGATTGCATGCCTAAAATACAATAATTTACCGTCCTCCCATTAAAAAAACTGTTCATCATGTCTATCCATAACAGTAAACAACGCAGCAGAGGCATTAAGTGAAAACCGCCCATATTAACGGTGAAATATGGGGATTTCTTGATCTTCCGTTCGTGACGGATTTCACCGCGAAAACGTCGCTTTTCACCAAAATTAGAAAAATGTCAGACTCACAATGTCATAAATCAGATGTATTAACGCTGTAGTATGACGTTTGTGTGACCTACTCCACGTTATACAGGTCCCCGTGTTAGAAGCTGGGAGAACGGGCTTGTACATCACGAGACTAAACCTCCAGCTCCTAAAACCCCTTAAACTCCCGTCATTTGTCAGATACCCTGATAGTCAGATACCCAGTTGTCGGATACCCAGGGCCCCGTTCCTCAAAGCGATCGTAGCGCTAAGATGATCGTAACTCCCAAACTTTAACATAGACTTACGACATCGTAGCGCTACGATCGCTTTGAGGAACGGGGCCCTGATTGTGAGATACCCCGGTTGTCAGATATCCTAGTTGTCACATACCCTAGTTGTCAGATACACTACAGTTGTCAGATACCCTAACTCGCGCAAGAGCGAACTGCACGTTACAAATACTGGAACGGACTATATTTTACACATTTCAGTAAAAGGCAGGAGGCCATGGTATATAATGTTTACGGAATTACGTCACGGAGAAGTGTTCATTTGTTGGCATAAACACACTTCGTAGAGGTTTTCAGCTGTTGTTCGGAATAGCCTGACACGAGTGTTCGGAAAAGACGATGTTATTGCTCGGAATAGCCTGGTGTCCTTGTTCGGAAAAGCCGATGTCATTGCTTGGAATAGCCCGACGTCATAGTTCGGAAAAGCCCGACGTCATTGTTCGGAAAAGCCCGACTTCATTGTTCGGTCGTCATTGAAATATTTCTGCATCTATTTTGTGAGTAACTGGAAGCGTATGAAGTAAAGGGACAGCCTATAAGGAAAATGACGTCACACCAAACATTATGACGTCATGATGTCTGTATAGGCCAGTCAGCCAGTATAAGCTTGGAGTTAGTGGCCGCATGCTTGACTGGATAAAAGATTTGTTGAGGGATAGAACTATACAAGTTCGCATTGGAACTTCTCTGTCGGATGTATACATGTTAGAGAATGGAACACCTCAAGGTAGTGTCATCAGCCCAACCTTATTTAATGTTATGATTAATGACCTGTTTGGGAATATCAGTGAAATGGTCGAAACATCACAGTTTGCAGATGATGGAGCGTTGTGGAAAAGGTCCAGTAATTTTGACACTGTCTTTAACGGCATTCAACAATCTCTTCATCTTGTACAGACTTGGTGTGTCCATTGGGGTTTTAAGATTTCAGCTTCTAAATCGTCTGCAATCATTTTTACTCGGAAGAAGATTCCACATAATTCAAAATTGGTTTTGTGCGGTTCTCCTTTGGAGTTTGTGGATAAAGTAAAGTCTGGTTTGATAAGAGGCTTACTTGGAAACCTCATATAGACTATTTGATTCAGAAATGCACTAAAGTCCTGAACCTTCTGAGAAGTATTTCCAGTACCAAATGGGGTGCAGACAGGAAGTGTTTGTTACTGTTGTATCGTGCCCTCATTCGATCACGACTTGATTTCGGCTGTCAAGCCTATGGATCTGCATGTGCTACACAAAAGGCAAGACTAGCTGTTGTTCAGTCAAAAGCCCTACGAATATGCCTTGGAGCATTTAGAACTACCCCTGTTGAGGCTCTCCATGTTGAATCTGGTGAACTGCCTTTAGATCTCAGACGTGAACTGTTAGAAGTTCGGTACATGCTTCAATTGAAATCTTTTGGAATGAAAAACCCTACTTCAGCTGTATTGGGAGATTGTGTTGAGTATTTCCTAGATCCTTGGAAAGACGGCATGGGGCCTTATGGGATGCGTTCTCAGAGAACTGCGTTCCATCATAATGTACGTGATGTTGCCATAGCTGATGTTAGTGTTCTGCCAAAGAAGCCACCATGGTTGCTTGACCTTCCATCAGTTTATCTTGACGTTCTGGAACAAGCAAATAAATCTGATCCGGCGCCTCTTGTTAAAGCTCTTGCCGAGGAACATATCCGAAGTTTACAGTGGATCAATGCAATGCAGATTTACACTGATGGATCTAAGTGCTCAGTGTCCGGTCGTGTTGGTGCAAGTATCTTCATAGCCACTGATAAAGAAAATATCTCTACGATTAGCTGATCACTTATCTGTATTCTCTGCTGAACTTGCAGCAATCATTGAAGCTTTGCGGTGGATTCATTTTTTTGAGACCTGTATCAGCGGTCATTTTCAGTGATTCTGTCAGTTCTTTGCAAGCAATCCAGACAGGTGCCTCCTCAGCAAGACAAGACTTGATCAATATTATTCTTGATCTTTTTAATGAATTAAGTAAAGACCTGTTAGATGTTGAGTTTTCATGGATACCAGCTCATGTTGGAATCTTTGGAAATGAAAAAGCTGATCATTTGGCAAAAGCTGCATTAGCTTTTGATGTCTCAGACGAGGATGAGACAATATTGCCCTCTCCTGCAGAATTATGCACAGTCAGTAAGACCCATGCGCAAGCGAAATGGCAACAGAGATGGACCTCATCCTTAAAAGGACGCCATCTTTATGGCATTGAGCCGTATATAGCTAAAGCAAAATTATCTAGAAACAATCGTAGGGAAGAGGTTCTTTTAACCAGACTTCGTCTTGGGCATTGTGGTCTTGGTGCATATCTAAACATTATTAATAATGATATTCCTGCAAATTGCACAGTGTGTAATCAGCTAGATGATGTTGCTCATTTTTTACTGCATTGTCAAAAAATATGTAACTCATCGTACGGCGATGGTGGGATCTTTGACAGCGCTTAATATTGACCTCTCCTTGACTGGATTGTTGTGTACAAGTAATATCACTCGCAATGATGTTCAGAATGTCATTCTTGCTTACATTAAAGCTTGTGGCAGCTTTACTACTTTGTAAACATTTATCAACGTAGCAAACCTTTATGATGGGCAAGGTGTAAATGGGCCCAGTTGCCCGAACACCTATCAAACTTTCAATTATCCATCCATCCAGCCAGTCAGCCAGCTTGAAAGTGGTTTCACAAGGACGGCGACTAGCTTCACTGATGGCTAGATTTGAGTAATGACGGTTATCTCAGAGTTTGCTGACGCTCTTCTTCATTAGATCAGTTTATTTGGGTAACTTTGTGGGAAAATATTGACATGAACTTCTTACTGTTACTTGGCAACAGTTATTTCAACTCTCATCTGCTTCCTCTGTGTCTATGCCTCAGGCTTGTCCAGTGAACAATTTATGTTTTTGGTTAAAACCTGAAGCAAATTATATTTTCCCTGTGTTTTCTTCTTTAACTGGTGTTTTCTTTTATAGAAATCAGCAACTTGAATATTAAATATCGGTATGAAATACACAATGCCATTTTAGAAAGTTGTCAAATGTAACATATGTTATATTGGGATTACACCGATTCTAGCACCTTTTGGGGGTTGAGTCCCATCCGGGATTCGAACCCACACCCTCAGAGTCAGGCACCTAATCGCCAGCACACAAAGTAAGACGCGTAGACCGCTCAGCCACCGCGGCTTCCACAAAAAAGGAAGTCGGACGACTGGTAGTCTAGACTGCGTACTTTGTGTACCCCTCTGATAAGTGTAAATTGGCACGGTTCCCACGGCCGAAAGCTATGAAATACACAAGGCCATTTAGAAAGTGGTCAAATGTAACATATGTTATATTTGGGATTACACTTTCTCTGTAAATATCGGTATGTTAGTTGAGTCACATTTAACAAGTCAGGAAGTGCGACAGATGTACCTAATATAACAAGTGTGTTATCCTACACACAGTAGTGCACCTTTCCACAAGTCTGGGTTATCGTACAGAATTGACGAAGCTGCCTTAGTTGCACCGTATTTAGCATGTCTGTTGTCCTACACTAGCTACTAAGCTGCTACAGTTGTACATCATTCCACAAGTCTGGGTTATCGTACAGAATTGACGAAGCTGCCTTAGTTGCACCGTATTTAGCATGTCTGTTATCTTACACTAGCTACTAAGCTGCTACAGTTGTACATCATTCCACAAGTCTGAGTTACCGCACCTCACGTGTATACGTGTCCATCGTGGTTCCGTATAGATGCGAGACCGTCTCTGCCTCTTTCAGAGTGACACACACTTACAGACAGACAGAAAGACAGACAGACAGACAGACAGATACACAGGCACAGATAGACCGACACAGACAGACGCACATGCAGTCAAACAAACACACACACGCACGCACGCATACAGAAATATTCACAGACATTCACGCACACGCACGCAAACACACACACACACACACACACACGCATATATTCACAGACACATTGGCAGACAGCAGACAGACAGACACTCTGAACTATTAATGGCGGACAAGTTCTTTCTACTGACTGACATGCTCCAAATGTCCTTCGTACATAGTAATCCTAAAATCAATTTGAAAGGCTATAGGTAATAAGACTTCGGTTTTATCAGTCGATAGCATTGATCGTTTGTTATTCTTAGAACCCTTTTGATCAAACATGTTTTATATCCCGTCTCAAGCAACTGATACCCGTTGAGTGCACTACCGACCGGAAGACGTATGCGTCCATGTTTGATATCGATGGTGGGTAAAAAAATAAACAAACAAAGATTCTTTTTTCAATGGTAATGTATTTGACACGGACATTGGATCATTGTGGTGCTCTAGTCCGACCTGTGTTTTTAGCTGTTTGATTTCACGTTTTGATTTTCTTTTGTAATGTCTTGCTCAAATCTAATTGTCGAGTGTGCACTTTCTTTTGTCCGGTAATGTATATTCAGGACATAAAAAGTGGTGCGTCCTTTTGTCCTTTTTAATAAAAAAGAACCTTTCTATATAGATAAGAATCTTGTATGATAAAACGGTAGGTGAGTAGAGTGTGTGAGTATGGTTTTACGCCGCTTTAGCAAACTTTCAACAATATTGCGGCGGGGGACACCAGAAATGGGTTTCACACATTGTACCCATGTGGGGAATCGAACCCGGTTCTGCAGCGTGACGAGCAGACGCTTTAACCATAAGGATACCCCACCGCCCCCAAAACGTTAGGCACAACACTTTGAGCTTATGAAACTCGATATGATTCTTACCGATTTCTTTTGTCATGGGCATGGGTTTCTCAAGCACATTTTCGTGTGCAGAGTTATGTCCACGAGACGCGATCATGGGTTTGAATCCAAGATTCAGCTTGGTTTTGTTTCTTCATTTGTGGGCGTGCTCGTGTTAGGGGGCATGGTGGTAACCAATTGCTTCTGGCGTTCCTCCGCCATATCGAAATGATGATATAACTGATGTTGTATGCAATAAACCAAAATCACTCACTATTCACAACAATAACCATAAAATCACTTTTGAATGAGTGAGTATGGTTTTACGCCGCTTTTAGCAATATTCCAGCAATATCACGGCTGAGGACACTAGAAAAAAGGCTTCACACATTGTACCCATGTGGGGACTCAAACCCGGGTCTTCGGCGTGATGAGCGAACGCGTAAACTACTTACTACCCCACCGCCCCAAACCACTTGTGAGACGGCCCCTGTATGTGTGTGGCAATGACTCGCATCTCAGTGGGTCATGGGGAACGATATACACAGTGTCAAAATGGTTATATCTGGTAACAGTGGTAAGATTAACACCATAATATATCAGTTTCGATTTGGCGGTGTAACAAAGTTAATAGTGACAAGCTAAGCTAATACAACAGATCACGGAGCAACCAGATAAGACCGCCGAGGAGATTTAGATGCCGCTCGTGTCAAGGCCTAGAAATGATAACATGAAGTCACTCCACCAAGAGAGACATAGAAACACGTGTGTCGTCGTGAATAATCGTGTATGGCTGCGGAAATTATGCGTCATAAGTTTTGAAAGAATTAGTTCCAGAATCCTTAACTTGTCCTTGTTTTAGACTAAATATTCCGGGTTGTTACATTTTCTATGGGTTCATATATTCTAGGTACTCCGATTTCACAAAATGGCGTCTCGTTATTGATGGGAACATTGTGATTATTTAGAGGTTAAAAATGATAACAGAACCAGGTTCCCACATTACGGGTTGGGAAAATTTCTTTTAGAAACTATTATCACCTCTTCCACATACGGAGAGGTGGGGTAGCCTAGTGGTTAAAGCGTTCGCTCGTCACACTGAAGAGCCGGGGTCCATTCCCCACATGGGTACATTCTGTGAAGCCCATTTCTGGTGTCCCCTCCGTCATACTGCTGGAGAAGCGTTTCGTATGGCCTTAATTACAGCTTGTTCAGCTTGACCTGAGCTACTCTACATATGCATGACCCGGGAGGTCAAATGGCACAAACGGCAGATCGGGTTATCTTCATTAAATAGGGGTGCAGAGAATGTTATTAATGTTGCAAGCATACATAGATTCGTTACAGAACTTGTCCCGGAAAACAACACTTCTGAAAAAAAAGACAATCATGTCATTTTTTAATTGAATTGTTTATACAGTCATATGCTATCTAGTTTGGTTTGCTAACTTTACAACTTACAGACGTCAGTTACTTTCACAATCCAATTCACTCTCGCTATCACTCTCTACACCCAGTTCAGTTATCACTTTTTCTATTTCATGTTCAACTGCAATATTTCTGTCCCAGTAGTCGCTTTCCAAATGTTCAACATGGGCACAGCAATCAGTCCACTCGTTTACACCAATCATCTGACACAGGTGCACCCCTTCACAATAATAGACCCAACCAGTTGTGACACGGTCACGCAATTCATTAGTATTCACTTGATCAGGTCAAGCTGAACAAGCTGAACCATCAGATATGAACGACTCTTCTCTATGTTTTGACAGAGATTACTGCGCCGGAAGTTCCAGAGAGTCGCCAAGATAACCATTTTCTGTATACGAGAGTGCCACGCCCATTGTCTCAGGTAACAGGATTATTTTGATTTCAGATATGGCAAGGATTGTTTAAAACAAAAAAATACACTTTATCCGTCATTCAATCCAAAAACTAAATTTCATGTATGAGTAGGTTTTGGTTCTGTATGCAATCTTCGAACATGCGAGGGACACCAGAAAATTTAAACTAGGGTTCCCTCCCTTACTTCGTCCAGAATACGCCGCAATTATGGGGTGTCATGTACAATAAACATTGCAAAATGTCCACCCACAATCATATGGCATGGAATGACTATAGGACGTTTCATAAACAGTTCTCCACTGTCATCACGTACATATATTTCAGGAACAACGACGACGATGAGTTATCTCCCTTTGTGAAGCCACTGAACTTCCGGGAATACCCTGCAATGGCGGGCGTGGAACTAATGTTTGACCCGTCAAGGTTCAAGGCCAATAAGCAGGTGAACATTGTCACACATACATTGAAAACAGTTTCCTAGCTGCACACTCTTGAAAGATGTGTAAACAATATTCAAACACTTCTGTTTCTTAACCTTAGGGTCATTTCAGATGAATGTTAATGTTAAAACAGTAATGGCAATTCAGTAAAGATGGATGTGGAGTAATGATCAATGGCTCTTTGTTATTTTTTAATACTTTAGTGGCTCATTAATATTTGTTTAAAACATGTGTTATGTCTCAGAGAACATTAGATCTGTCCCAAGTTGTGAAACCTACGTTGTATACGTTTCAAGCATCAGTGACAATAATGATGCTCAATGCTGTTCTCTGTGTTGACATTTTCAGTTGAATAGCTGACCTGCCTTTGCATGTGTTTGTGACGGCTGATTATGAAATCTCAAAGAGAACCTTTTTGTGTTGTATGGTGCATCTTGGTTGATTTTGACACTGTGTCCTTGTATTTGTAAGGGCGACAACGCGACAATGTCCATAAAAGATTCCATAAAAGCCCGTATCTAGATTTATTGGGAACAGGTTCGTTCTAGCACATCGATCTTTGGAGCGTATATCTGATTTATATGTTAGAGACATATTTTATGAATGACGTACGTCACTTGTAACAATAATGTGTGATGCAGACGAGAATATCAGACGACATCAGACGGATCCTGAGCAAACCCCCCTCCGACAGGACGGATCAGGAGCTGTACACGGTAAGTGAGCAAACCTCCCTCCGACAGGACGGATCAGGAGCTGTACACAGTAAGTGAGCAAACCCCCCTCCGACAGAACGGATCAGGAGCTGTACACGGTAAGTGAGCAAACCCCCCTCCGACAGAACGGATCAGGAGCTGTACACGGTAAGTGAGCAAACCTCCCTCCGACAGGACGGATCAGGAGCTGTACACGGTAAGGTTGTAAACACGTATATACACTGTGAGTTTCCAAATATTCTTTATCACTTATCCTACATTTGAACTGGTCTTCAGCAACCCATGCTTGTTAAAGGCGACTATAACTGGATCGGGTGGTAAGGATCGTTGATCTCGATGATGCATCCCACCTGCGTTGATAGATGCTCATGATATCAATCACTGGGTTGTAGACTCCATTATATACATGTCTTCAGTTTCTGATACATGATATTTCTGTAAGGTAATAAGTTCTCTATCAGATAATGTCATTCTCAAAATAATGGCTGTCGATGCCATTATTTCGGAAATATACTCATGCCAATAATGGTTGTCACCCCTCCCCAACCCCCACACCCACCCTGCACCCCTCCAATTAAAAAACATTGAAGGGGGTGACAACCATTATTGGCATGAGTATAGTTGCGATATGACCTGAAATAGTTCGAAATAATTAAGGAAACATAAAAAGTTCCATTTATGTTTCAGCCTTCTATACAAAAGAAACAATCGTTTTAAAGGAGTTTGGCAAACGTATTGAATACAGAATATTGTTGTTTTGTTTTCCACTAGGCTCAGATAGCATTGCGGAATATCACGTGTTTTCAAGAATACCCAGCCCGGATGCAGCGCCTCCTAGCGGCAGTTGGCATTTATGAAAGGTTAGAGTGAGTGAGTGAGCCACGTGGGATTGAACGTAACGTCATTCACGTCACGGGTATGAGTGATACAGGGTTGAACGTAACGTCATTCACGTCACGGGTACGAGTGATACAGGGTTGAACGTAACGTTATTCAAGTCACGGGTACGAGTGATACAGGTTTGAATGTAACATCATTCATGACACTCCATTTAAATATGGAGTGTTTACTTTCTGTCAGAATGTAACCCAAAAGTGAGTGGTAGTTTTAAACGCCACGAACACTGCTGACATAACACTGCAATACGACAGCTTCTACGTCAACATCACAAACTGAAAAGACGGGGCGATGGTGAAGCCGAGTATTGAAACCAAAACATTCATGGTTTCCTCGTTTCATCATGTGTCGCCTATATTTCAGCTTTAACACTAACACCAAGCTCTTCTTTGATGGAAGTTGGATATGACGAAACATCGGCCATAACGAACATAATTTAACTTCCCGATCTAACGAAATCATTTCACCTTTGCCCTATCTTTACAGTACTTGTTAGAGTGTATTAATTAATTTGTTATTTGTCCACGTAAATTGTAAAGCTGTATATGTGGTATCTGACATTTCTATACAGCTAGTAGTTCTTCTGAATGAAAGTCGTTAAAGATGTGATCTGAACCGACACATGTTGATATTTACAAAACAAGGGAGTTTATAGATTATTCGAATTTCCTCTCATAGCATTTCTTATAGCAAATAGAAACGTGCGATGTACATCAGTCTAGACCAGACCACAATGTTGATGCAAAATGTCAGATACTTCCAGGAATATTCCACAACGCTGTGTAGTCTCAGATTACCAAAGTCTGGCATTACCGACTTCATTACAGGGACACACAGGTAGATTGTCCAGACCATCTGTCTGCACACTGAACACCCTTCTTGAAACTTCCCAGACTAATCAAATCTTCAGATCTGCACCATTAATATTAATTTCATATTTAATAAATAGCATTGCATTGTTAAAGAACTTATGTCACATACCATTATCGTAAAAGCTGCAACTTCATATGTAATGTATAGTATTACATTGTTGAAGAATGTATGTCGCAGACCATTGTCGTAAAAGCTGTAAACAGGCTATAACAGTCATGTAACATTAAGAAATGTCATACTTGGGTAAACAAGACTATAAAAGAATTCAGATCTTCAGATGTACATCACACACGAATACTTGTATTACTGACTCTGTAGATGGTTCATGTTGCATATTGAACCTTGACACGATACCATTAGCAGCTACAAGGGTCCATGGAGGTGCAATGATGAAGCTGTGTGTCACATAATGGTGCACAGCTGGACAAAATGAACACAACAATACTTACTGCATTGTACATGATTTTCATGCAGAAATATCTGGGGAAGGAGCAAAATGATTACCGTGATCATCCATTCTTCACAGGTCGTTTCGCTTCAACCGAAATTTTCTTTACTTTCTGTCAGGAGAGCAAAAAACTTGAAATCCGGTACCGATGATACACAGATAGAGCTTTTATGCACTCATGTAGTCTAATTTTGATATGTTGTAGAAGGTACAAATACCAATTTTGATATATTGGGGTAACAAAATACCACTTTACTAACTAGGAGTGACTGAGTGAGTGAGTATGGTTTTACGCCGCTTTTCCAGCAATATTCCAGCAGTATTACGGCAGGGGACACCGGAAATGGGCTTCACACATTGTACCCTTGTGGGGAATCGAACCCGGATCTTCCGCATGACGGGCTAACGCCTTAACCACTAGGTCCCCCCACCGCCCCCTCATAACTAGGATGATATTGAATTGTTTTTACCGCCTGTTTTACTGGAACCCATTTCATAATAAGATATGGGTTGTTCTGTCGAATGAATTGTCCAGTCGCATTTTCCTCGTGGGTTCCTTGAGAATACTAGCTTTTATTTAATCGGTCATAGTTGATGAACGTTATAGAAGCGTATGGCTGATTAATTAGAGGTTCCAAAGCAATTTCCACTCTCTTCCGGCAAGGTTTGAGGCGAGACGAGTGCTAGTTCGACAAGGTCATCCTGCATCGTCCTTCTATTTCATCCTGTCAGGAACAGGTAGGTGTTCTGAAGACGTTCTAGCCACGTGATTGATGGATGAGTGAGTGAGTGAGTTAGGTTTTACGCCGCTTTTAGCAATATACCAGTAATATCACGGCGGGGGACACCAGAAATGGGTATTGGTCTTTATTGCAGAGAATTTTTATTTTGCGATATATTGCGATCAGAAAGGATATATTGCGATATGTATTGCAATTTATTGCAAGAAGGTTTTTTAAACAAACATCTACTTATAATCGAGTTAATGTTTGATTATAGAGCAAATCACAACAAAATCACTATGCTTGATTAAGCTTTAATAAAAAAAATTAATCATGGCAAAATAGAAATGTAAAAAATATTTGGCACAAATGAAACAAGGACAATTAACAACATTAACACAGTGCCTCAACCTAAAATGCTGCCATATTGAAGCCTTTGCCCAAATATTTGGCATCACAATAAATTGTTCGTTGTTGGGGGTCGCCATTTTACAACAAACGCATGACTTCCGGTGTGAAAAACAGAATTATCCGGAGATTTCCGAGTGTTACGAAGTTTTCCGAATGCATGTCAAAATACCGGTTTTCGATCAGCGTATCGCAATACGTATCGTTTTCATGTCTGAACTGGTAAATACCGGTAAACCGGTTATATTGCGCAGCCCTAGAAATGGGCTTCACACATTGTTCCCATGTGAGGAATCGAACCCGGGTCTTAGGCGCGACTTGCGAACGCCTTAACCACTTGGCTAGCTACCCCACCGCCCCCATGATTCATGGGACACCCTGTGTTCTCAGGTAATCAGAGTGAGTGAGTGAGTTGGGTTTAATGCCCCTTTGACCAGTTTGTTTGTTGGTTAACGCCACACTCAGCAATACCCCCGCTATATGGCGACGGTCTGTTAATAATCGAGTCTGAACCAGACAATCCAGCCATCTACAGCATGAGCATCGATCTACGCAATTGGCATACAATGATATGTGTCAACCAAGTCAGCGAGCCTGACCACCCGATCCCGTTAGTCGCCTCTTAAGACAAGCATGTGTTGCTGAAGACCAATTCTTACCCGGATCTTCTCGGGTCCCTAGTGATGCAAGTCTCAGGGCTTTACAACTTTGGTGAAACCCAGAAGTCTGGCTGTGCGGTGCTGACAACCAAGAACCCAGCTAACATACAACGTTTTCGAAACGTTGAAGATTGGTAAGGTCATGACACAACGTTGTCACAACGTCAATATTATGTCATTTTATAACGTTATGTCACAACGTAATAGCAACGTTGCAAATTTACGTTTGGAAACGTCATGTTTTGGGCTCTTAAAAATCACACCAGCGTTTCTTTATAACTTGGTGTCACAGAGTTCTGTAAAACGTTTCACTTGGAGATTCTTTCTTCACTATTCAGCTACAACTTCAGAAAACACACGACCAAAACAACATGCAATTTGACGAATAAACATTGAAGTGAATGTATGCATTGTTTCATATGTACTGTTCACTAAGTACTGGGAAAACTATTCAAATAGAACGCTAAGACAACGTGACCTACGTTGGCATCAAATAACTTTAACCTTGTGGCGACATTTACATGTCGTGTCACAATGTCAACGTTGTGACAACGTAAATGGGAGTTCACAGAATAACGTTGTAACAACGAAAGCATAACGTTCTGACAACGTTGTGACAGCGTGAAATTGTTACCCGGGAAGCATCAACAGGGATCTGGTGTTCGAACCCACAACATCGGTTTCTTGCATCCCAATTTCTATCTAACCGTCAAAAGCGTCAATAAATATCATTTTTGATTGACCATGTTTATCGTATCCAGTGGTTGTCATGGTGATGGATTGTGACCGGAAGTACGCCCGACCAGTGGCCTATCTGTACAAGGGACAGACATTTGGGGTAAGCTATCAGCAAAAGTGTCATTCATTAGACTGTTTATTTTGTTAACCAACCAGCCAACTCAAGGTGGCAAAGAAAAGAGCCTAAATCGTTTTAGAAAAGTAGAAATGGGGCCTGTAGAACCCACGCACTCCCCAGTGAGTGATCCAGGGTATACCAGGTGCCGCCTCTGAAGGGTTTTTAATCAGATGGTCCCATATAGGGTTGTTGTATTTGTTATCTTTATATAGATATGAATTTCCCGTAAACAATATCACAAACATCAATATTTTAATGGCATTTTACCGTTTGCTTGTATGTTAGAAATATATCTGACAATAGTGAAAACGAATGCAAGCATATTTTATCCTCAACAGGAACTAGCGATTATCAACAGAACGTCTCGACAGTCGACCGTACTCGCCAAGGAGAGCTCCGAGTTCCTCACGATCTCCGTGGAGGTGAGTTAATAACACCATAATGTTCACCATGATTTGCAAGAGTTAATAACACACTGGTTCATAATGTGCCTCGTGATGTGCGAGAGTGAGTGAGTGAGTTTGCTTAGTTTACGTTAGTTTTACAAATACTGCAGCAATATCATGGAGGGGAGGCTGACTGAGTTTTGGTTTTACGCCGCTTTTAGCAATATTCCAGCAGCATCACGGCCGGGGACACCAGAAATGGGCTTCACACATTGTACCGATATGGGGATTCGAACCCGGGTTTTCGGCGGATGGAGGGGGAGAGCAGATATGGGGTCAATATATAGTGCTTGTGTGGTGAATCGAACATAAGTCTTAGGTGTAAGGAGCGAACGCTTTAACCACAAGGCTACCCCTCGGCCAGCCGCCATATTGCTGGGATATTGCTGACTGGCGTTAAACAACATACAAACAGACTCGGCCCTGAGTCGCAAGGTTTGTTGTAAAATACTTGACATTGTGTGATTATAATGTTCCTCATGACTCGCACGACTGACTGACTGAGTTTGGTTTTACGCCACTTTTAGCAATATTCCAGCAACATCACGGCGGGGGGACACCAGAAATGGGCTTCACACATTGTGCCCATGTGGGGATTCGAACCCGGGTCTTCGGCGTGACGAGCCAACGCTTTACCCACTAGGCTACCCCACCGCCCCGACTCGCACGAAAGACATTATGACACACTAACTTGTTTAAAGTGTTCCTCGCTGTTCCTTTGCGAGAAGTCTAGTTTATAACATACGTGTGTATAAAGGTCTTCGCAATCTCAGTACAGGAGAGTTTATAGCCCAATGTATAATGTGTCCATGCGATGTTTTCATATGCTCAATAACGTTTACTGGAAGCTCATTCATGACCAAATTCGTGAGTTTTAAATGGTAGAGAACGCCTGCGCACTTTGACTTTCCCCTCAAGTGAACTGATGTGGTGTTACTGAGAAATTACTGATCAAAGCTAATTTGAATCCAAATCCGCCACCCATTGAAGTTTTGTTCAAGCAACATATTTCGCTACTGCATTATCCAAAGCAATCGTAAAATATAGTTTCACAATACGGCTTGCTGTGAAAGGGAGACAACTGAGGCGGGACTATCGGAGGGAAAAACTGATATTTTGTATTTCAAGTCGCGAAGATTAGCGACTAAAAATGTTGATATACGATATAGGTACACTCACAAATAGCAGGACGCCGTATTACATGCCTGATTTGGAATTGTCTTTAATGCGATGTATGAACAGTGGGTGAGTGAGTGGGTGCAGTGAAACTTCTGTTTACGCAGACATATTATTAACCAAGAATGGGCGTCACACACTGTACCCATTTGAAGATCGAACCTGTGAACGCGTTAACTTACTGTCACCTATTACCAATGAAGGGCAACATAATCAGCGCCATGATGCTTGCATTAATGTTTTAACTAATAGTCTTTGTGATTTATTAATCAGTAGAATTTCATTTTCCATGGAAACCGTTGGGCTAATGTACCATTGGGCGGTACTTTGGTCATTGTACAATATGGCGATTATCGATTTTAGTGAGTTGATTGTTTTGCTTTTAATTGAATTCATTTTTTAAATATTGTCCAGTTACAAAACCAGTGACTCTAGATTATTCATTAGGAATATCAATAATTCACCAGCCTCCCTGTTGTACTTTCAAGGACTTCGACGAAGCGTCGAGATCTGCCGTATTGAGTCCAAATTACTCTCTATTGTAATTCTTAATGACTTGTATCGTACAGATACTGACATTCGGCTTGATGAATTATGTGTTAGGCGTTTACATTTTTATATGCGATAATTGGTAGGCCTTTTGAAACGTTAACAAATGAAAAGCAGTTAAAAAATCGTCATTCATGATTATCCAGTGTATCGCGGATCTGAATGATAAAAGCTCTGTACTTTTTGTCACCAAAGCCTCGTTTTCAGCCAGATTCGCATGACGCAAACCTAAAATCATCGTCCAATCAGATTGCTCTCACAAGCGAGAGAAATTCTGAGCTCAGCTTAAGCTATGACAGGTGGAAACGGTAAAGACATTTCGTAGCATCCATGTCAAATGGACCAGAATATTGATGAGAATGGTATGCTCCTAGTGATTTGGACATATCATGCACAATAATGGCCTATTATCTTTTATCAAAATAGGATTGGGGTATAATAGACTGGATAGTCGACAATGCAGATTGTGTTCATGACTTCAATTAAATGTTGATTGTTGTGTGGAATTACTGTGTCAGATTACTCTCTTATTTCTCACTTACCTTCCAAGTTTACGCTCATATTTCCCTACGACAATATTGGACTATATGCACTGTTACATTCATATAGATTTTTACTGTGAGTGTGTTTTTAGATTTAGTTTTCGTTTTTAAAATGGGAAGACACAACATACAATAGGAAAGAATGTTTTGGCGTAAATGTTTTGAGTTTTTGAATGTTTATGAAATATTTATTCGTTATGAAATATAATGCGCATGAGAGACTGATTATCAAAATGTGAAGACGTTTGTCTGATGCAGTAAATGAGTTCCAATCTCAAAACAGGTTTCTTCTCTGCGCGGGTGTGTAACGCTTCTATTTAATTCAGGTTTCATGAAGATTCAATACTCTTCTTTCTGAAAATGAAATGAAGCATCGCAAAAATAATTATATTTTTCCCAGTCCTATTTCATGATTTCAGTTACTGTGCATGTATTTAGATTATGTTTGCTAGTGAGTTTGTCGTATCGCCGCTTGGAATAGTATGTTTTAATAATCATTTGACGCGGTGTTGGGAAAGGAATTCGAAAGCCCGAAGTGATGCGGTTTTTAGACCTTTACCATTTTGTTCTACTCCACAAACATGTGTAATGGTTTGAAATACCAATACCAATAAATCTAGAAATACCATCAGTGCGAATTCGAACCCACGTGTCGATCATGACTAAGGGAAGCATCTCTGTATAGCGGTAGACATTACTCCGGTTAGATTTATCAAGTTTGAAATGTGTGTGAGTTATTAGGTAAATATGTCTCAAAGTGCCTATATTTCATCATCCCCAGGACTACCATAGAATCTTCATGGCTGGAGGTGTGAAGTGCCTCACAGACCCGGACCACGAGGACTTCATCAGGTAGGACACACACGAGAACCTGCATGTCCTCGAGAAACTGAATGTCGACAGTTAACTACGGATATAGCGAACTAGTTTATAACGAACTGACGAATATAGCGAACTCGTTTATAACTAACTGACGGATATAACGAACTCGTTTATAACGAACTGACGGATATAGCAAACTGATGGATATAGCGAACTCGTTTATAACGAACTGACGGATATAGCGAACACGTTTATAACGAACTGACGGATATAGCGAACTCGTATATAACGAACTGACGGATATAGCGAACATGTTTATAACGAACTGACAGATATAGCGAACTCGTACATAACGAACTGACGGATATAGCGAGCATGTTTATAACGAACTGACGGATATAACGACCTGTTTTGGCTAGTACATGTGCTCGTACAACGGTCTCTATATACCCTCCATGAAGGGAGAATGATCACAGGTATTCAGATATGTTCACATATGTATCTTAGTTAATTTCAAAGACGTCATCACAGAGTTTTATTGTTAAAAAAACCCTCACACGATCTGACGACATCTACTGTTTATGACGTCATAAATTGCTCAAATATACAGATAACAATTGACAATTCACGCCATTCGAAACCGTTAAAACTAGCTTTCTAACTTGCACAGGTGGTGTTCAAGCTGTTAAACAATTCTGTCGAAGCCAACGATTACCAAAATTAAACACTATCTCCCATTCTACCGTTTTATTTATACCATCTAAACAAACAAAATCAAGGTTCACGGTATTTCTATAAAATACTTATTAAAAACTATGCGAGAGAAATAATCACTTCGCCAAATGGGAGTACGACCTTGGACATGATATCAACGAACAAGACAGGGAGAGTATCAATTCTATCCCGTTTAGCTGCACGAACCTGACTGGACTACAGTGGTTCCAATGTCAAATCTTACACTATATTTTGCCAACGAACTGTCTTCTCACTAAGTTGGGTTACGTAGACAGTACAAAATGCAGTTACTGTTCTAAAGAAATGGAAGAGGTCATACATATATTTTGGGAATGCTAAATGAGCTCCATCCGTAAAGACCTGGAAACTTGGACATCGCACGAAATGCAAAGTCCGGTAACAATATCCAAAGAACATTTTGTTTTTGGCTATCTATCGAAAAATAACAATCCTTTAAACCTTGTCACTATCCTGAAAAACGAGTCATTTTCAACATTAGAAATAATAACTACCCACCAACATTCCAGAGCTCACTGAATTTTATAAGTTAACAAAGAATACCTCTGTCATTAATTGTAATAGTCTACCTCAATACGGGTAGGACAGACTGCCATGCAAAACCGTGTAAATGCTTAAGATAAATAAACAATTTATATAAAAATTTAAGTTGTTCATGACGTCTCAACAGGCTGCCTGCATTGACGTTTCTCTGTAAGGGAGACCTACATTCGTTTTTCTTCTCTTGTGTCATAATTTCAATGCATAGTGTACAAGGGGTAAATTAAGATCAGTCCAAGGTGAATGAATGAAGCAATGGTTCGGGAATATTCATTTGATTAGGACAGATTATCGTTCCTCATATATGCTTATGGTTAATATTCTCAATTGTGTTATAAAATATAAATGATTGCACATATGAGCCTGGGGAAAGGTGTATGACGTTAGTTAGATGTAGAATACAGGATCCTCAGATTCAGCATCATAGATTCTCGTGTTGTGTGTTTGTGTTAAATGTCGCAGTTACTAAAATGTCGGGACCCGTGAAGATCCGGCTTAGAATGGGTCTTCAGCAACCCATGCTTGTCGTTAAAGCCGACTGACGGGATGACACGTTTCATCGTATCCCAATTGCGTAGATCGATGCTCATGCTGTTGATCACCGGATTGTCTGCTCCAGATTCAATTATTTACAGACCACCGCCATATAGTTGAAATATTGCTGAGTGCAGCGTTAAGCGACAAACAAACACAAAATTATCTTCTGTCCAGAATAAATGCTGTTGGTGTATATTCGTCCTACATCATTACACATTGTAATGCTTTCATTCCATTGTTCTTGTAGAAACAAACACAAAATTATCTTCTGTCCAGAGTAAATGCTGTTGGTGTATATTCGTCCTATATCATTACACATTGTAATGCTTTTATTCCATTGTTCTTGTAGAAACAAACACAAACTTATCTTCTGTCCAGAAAAAATGCTGATGGTGTATATTCGTCCTATATCATTACACATTGTAATGTTTTTATTCCATTGTTCTTGTAGAAACAAACACAAAATTATCTTCTGTCCAGAAAAAATGCTGTTGGTGTATATTCGTCCTATATCATTACACGTTGTAATGTTTTTATTCCATTGTTCTTGTAGAAACAAACACAAAATTATCTTCTGTCCAGAATAAATGCTGTTGGTGTATATTCGTCCTATATCATTACACATTGTAATGTTTTTATTCCATTGTTCTTGTAGAAACAAACACAAAATTATCTTCTGTCCAGAATAAATGCTGTTGGTGTATATTCGTCCTATATCATTACACATTGTAATGCTTTTATTCCATTGTTCTTGTAGAAACAAACACAAAATTATCTTCTGTCCAGAATAAATGCTGTTGGTGTATATTCGTCCTATATCATTACACATTGTAATGTTTTTATTCCATTGTTCTTGTAGAAACAAACACAAAATTATCTTCTGTCCAGAATAAATGCTGTTGGTGTATATTCGTCCTATATCATTACACGTTGTAATGTTTTTATTCCATTGTTCTTGTAGAAACAAACACAAAATTATCTTCTGTCCAGAATAAATGCTGTTGGTGTATATTCGTCCTATATCAGTACACATTGTCCCATATCAGAAAAATGCTGTTGGTGTACACATTGTAATGCTTTTATTCCATTGTTCTTGTAGAAACAAACACAAAATTATCTTCTGTCCAGAAAAAATGCTGTTGGTGTATATTCGTCCTATATCATTACACATTGTAATGTTTTTATTCCATTGTTCTTGTAGAAACAAACACAAAATTATCTTCTGTCCAGAATAAATGCTGATGGTGTATATTCGTCCTATATCAGTACACATTGTAATGTTTTTATTCCATTGTTCTTGCAGAAACAAACACAAAATTATCTTCTGTCCAGAATAAATGCTGTTGGTGTATATTCGTCCTATATCATTACACATTGTAATGTTTTTATTCCATTGTTCTTGCAGAAACAAACACAAAATTATCTTCTGTCCAGAATAAATGCTTTTGGTGTATATTCGTCCTATATCATTACACATTGTAATGCTTTTATTCCATTGTTCTTGTAGAAATCATTTCTACTTTTTATGTGTACCATAAACATCATGGCATGTTGTGAGGATGGAGTTTCATCTGCCTTCTTCCCACAGACATCTGAGATTCCTGGACGGCTGGCCGTTATGGAGGCTCCAGGAACATCCAGCCAAGTGCCTCTTCCTCTACTTTAAGTGAGTCACGATTGAATGTTGTTTTACGCCACAGAAAAAAAGGAATCTTGACAAGGAAGTTAGTGATTGATATCAAGAGTTACGATCCATGTCATGATGAAACAGAATCAACTAGGTCCTCCAGTGTGACTACTCACTCCTCAGAGTTTTGTCTGTTCTTGAACACCGCAATGTTTAAGCTACATGACGGCGCACTGTAAATGACCGAGATTCCTTCAGACATTCCAATGACTGACATCATACGCGTCAACTAAGCCAGCCAAGCAGATAACTCGCTGCAGAAACGCCAAAGTATTTCTGTAGTGAGTGAGTTTAGTTTTACGCCGCTTTAGCAATATTCCAGCAATATCACGGCGGGGGACACCAGAAATGGGCAACACACATTGTACCCATGTGGGGAATCGAACCCGGGTCTTCGGCGTGACGAGCGAACGCTTTGACTACTAGGGCTACCGCTCCGCGCCTTTTGTAGCGAGAGAGTAGAATTAAGAAGTCCTCATATGATACAGTGTGTATACCAGTATACGTGTATCCCTGGTGTCTGGTGGGACAACTTTAAACGCACATGCAAATTCAAAGTAACATTTTAAATCGTTTCATGGATTAGTGAGTATCCCAGGATAAGGACACATGACCATACCATTTTTTGCACAAACCTATGTCTATTTTCTCAACTCCGCCCTTCTGATCTGACATGTTTACCTTCCCGCGACGTCTTTAGACGCGGAGACGTGTTGGTCAAGGACAGCCACTACTCCGACTGGCTCATCGTTGTCAAATCTGTAAGTTGAACTCCTTTATTACCACATCCACAACATATAGGCGATGATCCTCAGTGTGACTGCTCTACAGTCGGGTGTCGCTCTCCAGACCTAACTGTTGTAGGATGTGCCCTGTGTGTAACTGGAAACATTGTTATTCGGGTGTTTGTGACGTATAGATGTTATTAGAGTGAATGAGTTTAGTTTTAGGCCGCACTCAGCAATATTCCAGCTATATGGTGGCTGTGTGTAAATAATCGAGTGTGGACCAGACAATCCAGTGATCAACAGCATGATCATCGATCTACGCAACTGGGATACGATGACATGTATGAACCAAGTCAGCGAGCCTGACCACCCGATCCCGTTAGACGCCTCTTACGACAAGCCTGGGTTACTGAAGATCAATTCTAAGCCGGACCTTCACAGGTCTATGGCTATTAGAAGTGTAACGATACGGTGAGGCCGTATATGAAGCGTATCCAGATAATACGGATGCGATACGGTTCGTATCCCGACATAGCACGTTTATTTCATTGATTTACATTTTCCCTTTTTGCAGGTGACTCACAGCCCGCTATCATTTGTTTTTAAAATTAAAAAGCAAAGATAGGATATTGTGGATGGGAAACATTAGGGCTTAGTTGACTGTGATGATTCTACTATTAATAGCCAACTGTGTAATACTAGAAACTCTGTGTAAGCTGGTTCTTCAACAGCTTCTGTTATTATTCATATGTGACTTGTAATATTGCGATTTAGGAGTTGTAAATAGATGTATTGTATAACTAGCTTTATATCGAGGTAAAAATACAATATTACACCCCTAAAGGATGCAGGTTAGATTGAGAAGACAATTAACTGAGCCCCGGACTTCAGCTGTTGGTTACCTGTACACTGATGGGCAGTGTCCAGTAACACTTCAGCTGTTGGTTACCTGTACACTGATGGGCAGTGTCCAGTAACACTTCAGCTGTTGGTTACCTGTACACTGATGGGCAGTGTCCAGTAACACTTCAGCTGTTGGTTACCTGTACACTGATGGGCAGTGTCCAGTAACACTTCAGCTGTTGGTTACCTGTACACTGATGGCAGTGTCCTGTAACACTTCAGCTGTTGGTTACCTGTACACCGATAGGCAGTGTCCAGTAACACTTCAGCTGTTGGTTACCTGTACACTGATGGCAGTGTCCTGTAACACTTCAGCTGTTGGTTACCTGTACACCGATAGGCAGTGTCCAGTAACACTTCAGCTGTTGGTTACCTGTACACTGATGGGCAGTGTCCAGTAACACTTCAGCTGTTGGTTACCTGTACACTGATGGGCAGTGTCCAGTAACACTTCAGCTGTTGGTTACCTGTACACTGATGGGCAGTGTCGAGTCACACTTCAGCTGTTGGTTACCTGTACACTGATGGGCAGTGTCCAGTAACACTTCAGCTGTTGGTTACCTGTACACTGATGGGCAGTGTCCAGTCACACTTCAGCTGTGGTTACCTGTACACTGATGGGCAGTTTCCAGTAACACTTCAGCTGTTGGTTACCTGTACACTGATGGGCAGTGTCCAGTAACACTTCAGCTGTTGGTTACCTGTACACTGATGGGCAGTTTCCAGTAACACTTCAGCTGTTGGTTACCTGTACACTGATGGGCAGTGTCCAGTAACACTTCAGCTGTTGGTTACCTGTACACTGATGGGCAGTGTCCAGTAACACTTCAGCTGTTGGTTACCTGTACACTGATGGGCAGTGTCCTGTAACACTTCAGCTGTTGGTTACCTGTACACTGATGGGCAGTGTCCAGTAACACTTCAGCTGTTGGTTACCTGTACACTGATGGGCAGTGTCAAGTAACACTTCAGCTGTTGGTTACCTGTACACTGATGGGCAGTGTCCAGTAACACTTCAGCTGTTGGTTACCTGTACACTGATGGGCAGTGTCCAGTAACACTTCAGCTGTTGGTTACCTGTACACTGATGGGCAGTGTCCAGTAACACTTCAGCTGTTGGTTACCTGTACATTGATGGGCAGTGTCAGTAACACTTCAGCTGTTGGTTACCTGTACACTGATGGGCAGTGTCCAGTAACACTTCAGCTGTTGGTTACCTGTACACTGATGGGCAGTGTCCAGTAACACTTCAGCTGTTGGTTACCTGTACACTGATGGGCAGTGTCCTGTAACACTTCAGCTGTTGGTTACCTGTACACTGATGGGCAGTGTCCTGTAACACTTCAGCTGTTGGTTACCTGTACACTGATGGGCAGTGTCCAGTAACACTTCAGCTGTTGGTTACCTGTACATTGATGGGCAGTGTCCAGTAACACTTCAGCTGTTGGTTACCTGTACACTGATGGGCAGTGTCCAGTAACACTTCAGCTGTTGGTTACCTGTACACTGATGGGCAGTGTCCAGTAACACTTCAGCTGTTGGTTACCTGTACACTGATGGGCAGTGTCCAGTAACACTTCAGCTGTTGGTTACCTGTACATTCTGATGGGCAGTGTCCAGTAACACTTCAGCTGTTGGTTACCTGTACACTGATGGGCAGTGTCCAGTAACACTTCAGCTGTTGGTTACCTGTACACTGATGGGCCGTGTCCAGTAACACTTCAGCTGTTGGTTACCTGTACACTGATGGGCAGTGTCCAGTAACACTTCAGCTGTTGGTTACCTGTACACTTCGATGGGCAGTGTCCAGTAACACTTCAGCTGTTGGTTACCTGTACACTTGATGGGCAGTGTCCAGTAACACTTCAGCTGTTGGTTACCTGTACATTGATGGGCAGTGTCCAGTAACACTTCAGCTGTTGGTTACCTGTACACTGATGGGCAGTGTCCAGTAACACTTCAGCTGTTGGTTACCTGTACACTGATGGGCAGTGTCCAGTAACACTTCAGCTGTTGGTTACCTGTACACTGATGGGCAGTGTCCAGTAACACTTCAGCTGTTGGTTACCTGTACACTGATGGGCAGTGTCCTGTAACACTTCAGCTGTTGGTTACCTGTACACTGATGGGCAGTGTCCTGTAACACTTCAGCTGTTGGTTACCTGTACACTGATGGGCAGTGTCCAGTAACACTTCAGCTGTTGGTTACCTGTACACTGATGGGCAGTGTCCAGTAACACTTCAGCTGTTGGTTACCTGTACACTGATGGGCAGTGTCCAGTAACACTTCAGCTGTTGGTTACCTGTACACTGATGGGCAGTGTCCAGTAACACTTCAGCTGTTGGTTACCTGTACACTGATGGGCAGTGTCCAGTAACACTTCAGCTGTTGGTTACCTGTACACTGATGGGCAGTGTCCAGTAACACTTCAGCTGTTGGTTACCTGTACACTGATGGGCAGTGTCCAGTAACACTTCAGCTGTTGGTTACCTGTACACTGATGGGCCGTGTCCTGTAACACTTCAGCTGTTGGTTACCTGTACACTGATGGGCAGTGTCCAGTAACACTTCAGCTGTTGGTTACCTGTACACTGATGGGCAGTGTCCAGTAACACTTCAGCTGTTGGTTACCTGTACACTGATGGGCAGTGTCCAGTAACACTTCAGCTGTTGGTTACCTGTAATACTGATGGGCAGTGTCAGTAACACTTCAGCTGTTGGTTACCTGTACACTGATGGACAGTGTCCTGTAACACTTCAGCTGTTGGTTACCTGTACACTGATGGGCCGTGTCCAGTAACACTTCAGCTGTTGGTTACCTGTACACTGATGGGCAGTGTCCTGTAACACTTCAGCTGTTGGTTACCTGTACACTGATGGGCAGTGTCCAGTAACACTTCAGCTGTTGGTTACCTGTACACTGATGGGCAGTGTCCTGTAACACTTCAGCTGTTGGTTACCTGTACACTGATGGGCAGTGTCCAGTAACACTTCAGCTGTTGGTTACCTGTACACTGATGGGCAGTTTCCAGTAACACTTCAGCTGTTGGTTACCTGTACACTGATGGGCACTGTCCAGTATCACTTCAGCTGTTGGTTACCTGTACACTGATGGGCAGTGTCCAGTAACACTTCAGCTGTTGGTTACCTGTACACTGATGGGCAGTGTCCAGTAACACTTCAGCTGTTGGTTACCTGTACACTTCGATGGGCAGTGTCCAGTAACACTTCAGCTGTTGGTTACCTGTACACTGATGGGCAGTGTCCTGTAACACTTCAGCTGTTGGTTACCTGTACACTGATGGGCAGTGTCCAGTAACACTTCAGCTGTTGGTTACCTGTACACTGATGGGCAGTGTCCAGTAACACTTCAGCTGTTGGTTACCTGTACACTGATGGGCAGTGTCCAGTAACACTTCAGCTGTTGGTTACCTGTACACTGATGGGCAGTGTCCAGTAACACTTCAGCTGTTGGTTACCTGTACACTGATGGGCAGTGTCCAGTAACACTTCAGCTGTTGGTTACCTGTACACTGATGGGCAGTGTCCATTAACACTTTTATTTGTTTGTTTATTTAAGGCCGCACTCAGCAATATTCCAGCTATTTGACGGCAGTCTGTAAATAATCGAGTCTGGACCAGACAATCCAGTGATCAACATCATGAGCATTGATCTACAATTGGGATACGATGACACGTGTCAACCAAGTCAGCGACTTTGACCACCCGATCCCGTTAGTCGCCTCTTACGACAAGTGTATGCAAGTTGTACAAATGGCGGATGTGCACTATGTGCAGTGTCTAGCAACACCTTTGTTTGCACATTGTGCAAGTGGCGGGACAGTAGAACGTGATTACCATTTACACCTGGCGTCATAACTGATTTTCAAGGATCCATTCCTGCGGTTTTCACATCTGTTTTACCGCCATATAGCTGGAATATTGCTGAGTGCAACCTAAAACTACACTCAGATCTGTTTTGTCTCTGATGCCCAAAGGAATCACCTGATTATCGTGACTTTTGTCTGGCGTTATCGTTTAATATTTACACACCTGTCTTTGGCCATCGCTTAAAATTGTGATTTAAAAAATGAAGCAAAAACTTACGATCTCAAGAGTTGCTTTTTATGGGTAGATGATATAATTCTAACGGATTAACTTAGTAAGTGAGAATCTTCTATTTATGTTTTGGTTGCATGAGAGTCATTGTATTGTTTTGTTACAGAATAGAGGATTAGACCGATTCACTGTCCTGGCACGTGTGGATCAAGACAATATGATCCCGGATAAATATGGAGTCTCAGATTACCATATCCACCTTACACTTATAGTGCGTTTGGCTCAAAAGCGGACCGATGAATTGCAATCTAACTCGAAAACTAATCAACAGAAAATACTCAATGAAACACTGATCAAAATCAAAACGCCAGACCAACTCTGTAAGTTTTTTGCAGAATTTATGTCCTAAAAATAAAAAAGTTGTTTAACAAACTATCATTAAAATATTGACACAGTTCACTATTTGTTACGAGGGGAGGACTACAGAGAAGGGGACAGCCAGGTGTTAGAGAAGTACCGACAAAGTTATTGATTCATTAACCTGTGCTGTGCCGTCTCCATCCTTTCTCGAACACCTGGCTGTCCCTTTCTCTGCACTCCTCCCTCGTAACAAATAGTGAACTGTGTCAATATTTTAATGATAGTTTGTTAAACAACTTTTCTATTTTTAGGACATAAATTCTGCAAAAAAACTTACAGAGTTGGTCTGATGTTTTGATTATGATCAGCGTTTCATTGAGTATTATATGTTTATTAGTTTTCGAGTTAGATTGCAATTCATCGGTCCGCTTTTGAGCCTTCCATATTACATAGACACAATAGTTTCAGTCTCACACGCATTTGACAGGGACACCGGTCTGTTGATGATTTCTCTCTTTAATGAATATATTCATATATGTCATATATTCTACCTTTGTGTGTTTGTCAAATATTCTACCATTGTATGTATGCCATATATCATGTGTTATTTGTTTCAGGGGTCTATATCAGTGTTGAAGAAACTCAGACGGGTAGAGGCATACGAGTGGAGAAGAAAACACGGTAAGTGGCTTTAGATTACAGTGAGTTACAATTTCACATCTAATTATCATACTCAAATACCTAGCTCAGAATGGCAGTTAAAATGGTAAACATCACAACACAGATCAAACTTTAATTAAACCACATCATTAAAGAAATCAAAACCCCAGCTCGTTTCTTTTTAATTAAGCTAAAGATCACATGCAACAAGGTTTAGAACCTCTTAGTTGAACCTACAATTCCTGCAAGGCTACATTGCAGGATCTATACCATCCCCTATTTTCTCTGTCGTAGTAGTCTTCGTAATAGGAATCTAAAATCAAATATCACTTAAAGAACTAAAAAACTTACATTTTATACTTTTATGTGATATTTTCTTTCAGGGTCGCTGTACCTCGCTGAGAAGCAGCAGCAGGAACATGAAGTCCGACTACAGCAGTGGCGGAAGTCCATCCTGCACGAACTGCACGTGCCGTTACGTCAGTCAGTAGAAGACGAAACAGATAACCATGACAACTGGACGCGACGGAAACTTTGTTCTAACACCACAGTTGAGGCACTTGATGTAAACACTTGCAAGTTCTTTGACTCGAAAGTGTGGCAGTTTGGGAAGCCAAGAGATGGAAAAGGGCTGGGGTTTTCCATTATAAATTTACCGGACATCAAATCGAAGAAGCCACTCGGAAGGGTTGATACAAACTTAGATGAGAGTGAAAAACAGCAGCGTCAGCGCATGCGCATGAGAAACGTTTGTAGACCACGAAGTAGCACTGATGAAGATAGTGAGATGACATCAAGTGGTATGTATCTTTTATGGTATGTCATGGTGTGTCAAGCATATAAACACGACGATAGTAAGCGAATGTTATAGTGTGTGAGTGAGTTTTAGCTTTATGCCTCTTTTCGCAACATTCCAGCAATATCACGCCGGGGGAGACCAGAAATGGCCTTCACGCATTGTACCCATGTGGGGAATCGAACCTGGGTTCTCGGCGTGACAAGCGATACTCATTGGTATCATATTGACTTGCCGCTTGTTTCGAACAAAACCTTAAGTCTTCTTCATTGTTGCCGAGCTGTGTCTAAGAAACAGTATGGGCCCTCTCAGTATGGGCGGGGCGGTGGGGTAGCGTAGTGGTTAAAGCGTTCGTTCGTCATGCCGAAGACCCGGGTTCGATTCCCCACATGGGTACAATATGTGAAGCCCATTTCCGGTGTCCCCCGCCGTGATATTGCTGGAATATTGCTAAAGCGGCGTAAAACTAAACTCACTCACTCAGTATGGGCCCTCCGCTTGTTTCTAACTAGCATGATAGCAGGACGTATATCGGATGGTTTTGATGTGGTCGCCTAATGGCTGCGAATTCGGTCCTCGGGCCGAAAACCTGTTCGAATTCCCACATAGGTACATCGGTTGAGCCCATTTCTGGAATTCCCCGCCGTGATATTGCTGGAATATTGTTAAAGGCGATGTAAAACTATTCTCACACTCATAGATCGTAAGCGAATGGCTTTCTTTATGCAGTCATATGAGCTCACAAATGTTCACAAGTAATAACACAAGTCCTAGTCGCCTCGAGTTAGTTACTGGCGGTGGGGTAGCCCAGTGGTTTAAGCGTTCGCTTGACACGCCAAAGTCGCTTGTTTGATTCGAGTTAGTTACTGGCGGTGGGGTAGCCCAGTGGTTTAAGCGTTCGCTTGACACGCCAAAGTCGCTTGTTTGATTCCCCACATGGGTACAATGTGTGAAGCCCACTTCTAGTGTCCCCCGCCGTGATAATCATACTCACTAACTCACTCGCGCACGCGAGTTAACCAGGCTTGTCTGTGTCCGTTTGGCTATGGACAGTTGATGGTTGTATTCAGACACGCAGTGTGCACAACCAAGGTCTTCTTTTCAGGCCCCGGTGGTTCAGTTTACCGTTGATTAACCGTTGTCAAACATGTACAGTTATCACAAGATCAGTACGTATTGAACTCCATGGAAACACCATTTAGACATGGAAACACCATGCACAGTCAATAGAATAAGGTCATCGAGAAATATGTTTGATAAATGACACAAATGTCTTTTTGCTCACTCAGCAATATTCCAGCTATATGGCGGCGGTGTGTATATAACGCAAACCGAAACATGAGTCTCATTAACCAATTCAGACAATGACCTACTTTTCAGCCGATCCGAATTTTCTCGTGTGAAAGTAAAAGGAGACACTACGGTTACACTGAATTTCACTTCCTTGTTTCATAGGAAAATGGAATTTACAAATTGATTTTATTTTTAAGTTTTAAACAATCGTATTTTTATATTTTATGTCGAGGTTTAGGCAGCATGTGGTTAACTAAGACTTCACAGACTGCCCCTGTTAGAAAAGGCCGTACAATGATTCACAATTCATCTGGCTCACTGGTTACACCTGTTATGTATTTTTTGCGCTTATTAAATGTATTTTTGTAATGTACAATGTGATTGATATAATATCAAGGCCGTACCAGACCACCAAACATTTCTAGCGGCAGGACTTCGTTTTGAGATTTCCACGATTTCCATTTGTCAGAGCATTCTGCACGACAGAGCACGCTCCACGACGTGTTTATAAGGATTAGAAGGAGCATAGTGTTGCAATATACAAGTGATAAGATGTATCAAGTAATACTTATTAATATTTATACATCCAGTTGAGTTGGTCTACAAATTCTGGACTGGTCATTGTACTAAGTTGCACAATAGGACGGAACACAGTCAGCAGGAAACGAGACTGTTGTGTAATCAATGCTTTGACTTGATCTGGACCAGACTATCCGATGGTCAACAGCATGAGCATCGATCTACCCAACTGGGATCCGATGACATGTGTCAACCAAGTCAGCAATCCTGACCACCCGTTAGTTGCTGAGGAGCAGTTCTAACCCGGATCTTCACGGATAGATACAGTAACGCTACTGGCGGATCACGCCAATGTTCATTGTGTTCGGAAATATATGAGCACCCTGAATTCTTCAATAGTGTGGGTTCAGCCCGTGTCGCTTTATGGGAGTATGGGGCCACGGGTAAGGTGGGAGGTAGTTGACTGTCGTCTAAAGCGCCACATTCGATATGCAGAGTTGCGTCCCTTACACACTCCACAATCCTATGATTATGATCATTGGTTCGAATCCTGCTTCACGCCTATTATGCTTCCAGGTTTGGCAGAGGATATTGATCATAGTAATATGAAATAATCCTTCACTTCTTAACACAAGTATATTTGCATTGTGCAAGATATTAGAGTGTTCATTATTCAACAACCATACCGGTTCCTGTTGTAGCTCTTGTACCTTTACCCATTTCCGTTCTCCCTCCAGTATGATAACTATATGATGTGAAACAGAACCCTTTAACTCACTCCAGTAACTAAATAATTAATCATAAATGTTTTAGAGCCATTTTGGTAATCATTACATAGCTGGACCCAAAGCAGTGCCCATTTTGAGTGTATCGTCAACATCTGTTCTCATATCACTGATGACACTCGTCACAAACACATGCAAAGGCAAGTCATGTATTAATTTGAACAAACAGCTGTCCAGTAGATATGGTACATGTCTGAATAGGGAGTTACATCGGACTTTATATTTGTCATTGATGCGTTGAACTGTTTGAAAGCTTTACTGAGGCCGGGGCGGTGGGATGAACTAGTGGTTAAAGCGTTCGCTCGTCACGCCGAAGGCCCGGGGTTCGATTCCCCATATGGGTACAATGAGTGAAACCCATTTCTGGTGTCCCACGTCGTGATATTGCTGGAATATTGCTAAAAACGGCGTAAAACCAAATTCACTCACTCACTGAATTTACTGAGGCCGTGGATGCTTTTATGTATCAACCTATCTAGATAGGTATGTGCATTAGACAAACGAGGCGGGGAAGGGAGGTGCATCTGGACGAAATTCCCCCGAATGTATGCATACATGGAGTTTATATTTAGCAAGGAATGAAATGTTTACAGGCAAGAGGGAACCTGACGGCGTCACAAACCCTCGTCGTCAGAGCGTCGTTGAAAGAGAACGCGAGATGATGGGATTCGCCCAGCACGTTCGGACAATCAGTGAGGACCTGGATGCGGGGATCAAACGGAAGGTGAGGAGTAGATTTGTGAGGTGAGTGAGGACCTGGATGTTTGGACTAAAGGTGAGGAGTAGATTTGTGAGGTGAGTGAGGACCTGGATGCTTGGACTAAAGGTGAGGAGTAGATTTGTGAGGTCGTCAGTGAGGTCCTGGATGCTTGGACTGAAGATGAGGAGTAGATTTGTGACGTCATGAGTGTGGACCTGGATGCTTGGACTGAAGATGAGGAGTAGATTTGTGAGGTGAGTGAGGACCTGGATGCTTGGACTGAAGGTGAGGAGTAGATTTGTGAGGTGAGTGAGGACCTGGATGCTTGGACTAAAGGTGAGGAGTAGATTTGTGAGGTGAGTGAGGACCTGGATGCTTGGACTGAAGGTGAGGAGTAGATTTGTGAGGTCGTCAGTGAGGTCCTGGATGTTTGGACTGAAGATGAGGAGTAGATTTGTGACGTCATGAGTGAGGACCTGGATGCTTGGACTGAAGATGAGGACTAGATTTGTGAGGTGAGTGAGGACCTGGATGCTTGGACTGAAGGTGAGGAGTAGATTTGTGAGGTGAGTGAGGACCTGGATGCTTGGACTAAAGGTGAGGAGTAGATTTGTGACGTCGTCAGTGAGGACCTGGATGTTTGGAAGGAAGGTGAGGAGTAGATTTGTGAGGTGAGTGAGGAACTGGATGCTTGGACGAAAGGTGAGGAGTAGATTTGTGAGGTGAGTGAGGACCTGGATGCTTGGACTGAATGTGAGGAGTAGATTTGTGACGTCGTCAGTGAGGACCTGGATGCTTGGACGAAAGGTGAGGAGTAGATTTGTGAGGTCAGTGGGGACCTGGATGCTTGGACTAAAGGTGAGTAGTAGATTTGTGACGTCGTCAGTGAGGTCCTGGATGCTTGGACTGAAAGTGAGGAGTAGATTTGTGAGGTCGTGAGTGAGGTCCTGGATGCTTGGACTGAAGATGAGGAGTAGATTTGTGACGTCATGAGTGAGGACCTGGATGCTTGGACTGAAGATGAGGAGGATTTGTGACCTGGATGCTTGGACTGAAGGTGAGAGAGTGAGGAGATTTGTGAGGACCTGGATGAGGTGAGTGTGAGGACCTGGATGCTTGGACTGAAGGGTGAGGAGTAGATTTGTGTGAGGTGAGTGAGGACCTGGATGCTTGGACTGAAAGGTGAGGAGTAGATTTGTGAGGTGAGGAGGATCGCCGCCAGTGAGGACCTGGATGCTTGGACTGAAAGGTGAGGAGTAGATTTTGTGAGGTCGTGAGTGAGGACCTGGATGCTTGGACAAAAGGTGAGGAGTAGATTTGTGAGGTGAGTGAGGACCTGGATGCTTGGACTGAAGGTGAGGGAAGTAGATTTGTGACGTCGTCAGTGAGGACCTGGTTTGGACGGAAGGTGAGGAGGTGAGGTGAGTGAGGACCTGGATGCTTGGACTAAAGGTGAGTAGTAGATTTGTGACGTCGTCAGTGAGGACCTGGATGTTTGGACGGAAAGGAGTAGATTTGTGAGGTGAGTGAGGATTTGTGGACTAAAGGTGAGGAGTAGAGTAGATTTGTGAGGTGAGTGAGGACCCGAGGACCTGGATGACTTGACCTGGATTTGGACGATTTGTGAGGTGAGAGAGGATGAGGACTAAAGGTGAGGATTTGTGTTGAGGAGGACCTGAGTGAGTGAGGACCTGGATGCTTGGACTAAAGGTGAGGTGAGTAGATTTGTGAGGTGAGGAGAGGACCTGGATGACTTGGACTAAAGGTGAGGAGTAGATTTGTGAGGTGAGTGAGGACCTGGATGTTTGGACTGAAGGTGAGGAGTAGATTTGTGAGGTGAGTGAGGACCTGGATGTTTGGACTGAAGGTGAGGAGTAGATTTGTGAGGTGAGTGAGGACCTGGATGCTTGGACTAAAGGTGAGGAGTAGATTTGTGAGGTGAGTGAGGACCTGGATGCTTGGACTGAAAGGTGAGGAGTAGATTTGTGAGGTGAGTGAGGACCTGGATGTTTGGACTAAAAGGTGAGGAGTAGATTTGTGACGTCGTCAGTGAGGACCTGGATGTTTGGACTAAAGGTGAGGAGTAGATTTGTGAGGTGAGTGAGGACCTGGATGTTTGGACTAAAGGTGAGGAGTAGATTTGTGAGGTGAGTGAGGACCTGGATGTTTGGACTGAAAGGTGAGGAGTAGATTTGTGAGGTGAGTGAGGACCCTGGATGCTTGGACTAAAGGTGAGGAGTAGATTTGTGAGGTCATCAGTGAGTGAACCTGGATGCTTGGACTGAAGGTGAGGGTGAGTAGATTTGACTAGGTGAGGTGAGTGAGGACCTGGATGCTTGGACTAAAGGTGAGGAGTAGATTTGTGACGTCATCAGTGAGAACCTGGATGTTTGGACTAAAGGTGAGGAGTAGATTTGTGAGGTGAGTGAGGACCTGGATGCTTGGACTAAAGGTGAGGAGTAGATTTGTGAGGTGAGTGAGGACCTGGATGTTTGGACTAAAGGTGAGGAGTAGATTTGTGAGGTGAGTGAGGACCTGGATGTTTGGACTAAAGGTGAGGAGTAGATTTGTGAGGTGAGTGAGGACCTGGATGTTTGGACTGAAAGGTGAGGAGTAGAATTTGTGAGGTGAGTGAGGACCTGGATGTTTGGACTAAAGGTGAGGAGTAGATTTGTGAGGTCATGAGTGAGGACCTGGATGTTTTGGACTAAAAGGTGAGGAGTAGATTTGTGAGGTGTGAGTGAGGGACCTGGATGTTTGGACTAAAGGTGAGGAGTAGGATTTGTGAGGTGAGTGAGGACCTGGATGTTTGGACTAAAGGTGAGGAGTAGATTTGTGAGGTGAGTGAGGACCTGGATGTTTGGACTGAGGAGTAGATGTGAGGAGTAGGATTTGTGAGGTGAGTGAGGACCTGGATGTTTGGACTAAAGGTGAGGAGTAGATTTGTGAGGTGAGTGAGGACCTGGATGTTTGGACTAAAGGTGAGGAGTAGATTTGTGAGGTGAGTGAGGACCTGGATGTTTGGACTGAAGATGAGGAGTACATTTGTGAGGTGAGTGAGGACCTGGATGTTTGGACTAAAGGTGAGGAGAAGATTTGTGAGGTCATGAGTGAGGACCTGGATGTTTTGACTAAAGGTGAGGAGTAGATTTGTGAGGTGAGTGAGGACCTGAATGTTTGGACTAAAGGTGAGGAGTAGATTTGTGAGGTGAATGAGGACCTGGATGTTTGGACTAAAGGTGAGGAGTAGATTTGTGAGGTGAGTGAGGACCTGGATGTTTGGACTGAAGATGAGGAGTAGATTTGTGAGGTGAGTGAGGACCTGGATGTTTGGACTGAAGATGAGGAGTAGATTTGTGAGGTGAGTGAGGACCTGGATGTTTGGACTAAAGGTGAGGAGTAGATTTGTGAGGTGAGTGAGGACCTGCATGTTTGGGCTGAAGATGAGGAGTAGATTTGTGAGGTCATGAGTGAGGACCTGGATGTTTGGACTACAGGTCAGGAGTAGATTTGTGAGGTGAGTGAGGACCTGCATGTTTGGACTGAAGATGAGGAGTAGATTTGTGAGGTCATGAGTGAGGACCTGGATGCTTGGACTAAAGGTGAGGAGTAGATTTGTGAGGTGAGTGAGGACCTGGATGTTAGGACTGAAGGTGAGGAGTAGATTTGTGAGGTGAGTGAGGACCTGGATGTTTGGACTGAAGATGAGGAGTAGATTTGTGAGGTCATGAGTGAGGACCTGGATGCTTGGACTGAAGGTGAGGAGTAGATTTGTGAGGTGAGTGAGGACCTGGATGTTTGGACTGAAGATGAGGAGTAGATTTGTGAGGTGAGTGAGGACCTGGATGCTTGGACTGAAGATGAGGAGTAGATTTGTGAGGTCATGAGTGAGGACCTGGATGTTTGGACTAAAGGTGAGGAGTAGATTTGTGAGGTGAGTGAGGACCTGGATGTTTGGACTATAGGTGAGGAGTAGATTTGTGAGGTGAGTGAGGACCTGGATGCTTGGACTGAAGATGAGGAGTAGATTTGTGAGGTCATGAGTGAGGACCTGGATGTTTGGACTAAAGGTGAGGAGTAGATTTGTGAGGTGAGTGAGGACCTGGATGTTTGGACTGAAGGTGAGGAGTAGATTTGTGAGGTCATGAGTGAGGACGTGGATGCTTGGACTGAAGGTGAGGAGTAGATTTGTGAGGTGAGTGAGGACGTGGATGCTTGGACTAAAGGTGAGGAGTAGATTTGTGAGGTGAGTGTGGACCTGGATGCGTGGAGTGAAGGTGAGGAGTAGATTTGTGAGGTGAGTGAGGACCTGGATGCTTGGACTGAAGGTGAGGAGTAGATTTGTGAGGTCATGAGTGAGGACCTGGATGTTTCGACTAAAGGTGAGGAGTAGATTTGTGAGGTGAGTGAGGACCTGGATGTTTGGACTGAAGGTGAGGAGTAGATTTGTGAGGTCAGTGAGGACCAGGATGCTTGGACTGAAGGTGAGGAGTAGAGCCAATGTTGGATTCAAACCCACGATCATATACTTCTGCCATGCCTAAGGGAGGCGACTCTGCAAAAGGAATCACGGCGCCTTGCAAATAGACAACTTGGTTGCCAAAGTCTACAGTGAATCTGCATAATATAGTATTCATGCTGAAATATATTTGTTAAACGTTTTACTTTCATATGCATCTTGCGAATATCAGAGATCCAAATCTCGAACTACTATTGACCTTCACAAACCGATACCAGCTGTGCGGGTTTATGGTACTGTCATGCAAAACTCAATCGACATCGTTTCCGCGCTGAGTCACAACATACCGCTCACAAATTAATCTATTGTTAAAGTAAGCTGTTGATAACAAACATAGAAATAACGCAGAGGCATGTTGATGACGTACCACTGCAGCACGTGCAATCAATCAAAACAGCCCGTGGTGTCACGTGACCGTGTGTCTTTACTCGCCATCTGTGAAATATCAATAGCTCCAGCTTAAACGACGATCGATTCACTTTGTGATCGATTCGTGATAATGATAGCTAACCATAACATTTGAAAAAAGAAGATCCATCTCCATATTCACTAATTGTTCATATGAAGAGGAGATAATGTTCATATTGTACGGGGTTTAAGAGTTTTCAACAAAACGCTTTTTTGTGCATGAGGCTTCATTTGTTCTTTGTGTATGTGATAATAAATTGGACATGATTGAACTTCCAGTTAAGATCGATGAGTTTGCCGTGCGCCTAAGAAAACAGCATGTGTATCGATATGGCATAGGACACTCACGAGATATTTTATACAATATGAAACGGTGTTAAAATGAAGTCTAAGGTTTCAGATATAAATCCTGGTTTGAAAATGATAATTTGACAATTGATTGATGATACATAATTATTTATTCTCATGCTGGTTTGTTGGGGGTGGATATAAGGATATTTCAAAGGCAAGATATTTCTTACAGAAGACTGTAAGCACAATATATAATAGTGGGATCCTTATTGGAATTATGTAAAAATACCGGAATATGTCAATTTATTCCAGTCGTAGAATTATAATACCATTTCAGAGAAACATTACATAACCACAAGATACATGCGTTTTAAAGAATTGACAGCCTGAATGAAATATACATGTGCTAATTACTTTTAATAATGGGCATGTCTTTTAATAATTCCAGTTATACTCTCAGTCATAAGGTTCATATCCATGGTATACACGTGGGGGTGCTGGGCTGATGACGTGGCACACTTTGGTCGATATCCAACAATTTTACTGATGACATATTATTACACGTTCCCGGAATCTTTCAGCCTTATACAGTTGGGGGGTTCGGTGTTAGTTTGGAAACATATCAACCACTGATATTTGAACTTCTAACGAGATATGATTATTATTATTTTCTAATAGAAATGATTATTTGTATTTTTATATTTATGAATAAAATACAGACTATATTACTTTTTTTGTGACTGGAGGTGTAAAATTTTCGCATCCCATAATAATTAGATTTCGTACATGATAGTACATTTCCTAATAACATTATGATTTTCGTTAAATTTCGCCTGGAATTTGTTTAAACGCCTTTTGCAGAAAGATGTGAGTTCAGCCAGCACAGCTGTAAATCATGATGGGTTTAGGTCTGAAAGGAATATACCAAGTGTGCCACGAGGGCAAGGACCGCTATTGGATATAAGTGTTTGAATTGTTTTTCCTTAGAAAGACAGACTTTTGAAAAAACGAAATTGGTGGGTGCTAAATAGAGTGGTTTTGGTTTGCACTTAATAATGAATGGAAGTAATTCAGGGAATAATTAGCCTTTGTAAACGTACACACTAAGGTGTGGCGGCGCCATGTTTTGACTCAATGAAGTACACGACAGCAAGCGTTTGGTGACATGAGTGTTGCTTACGTTCACAATTATGATGATAACGATAATGATGACGAAGACGACAGCGATGATGATGATGATGATGACGAAGACGACAGCGATGATGATGATGATGATGATAACGATAATGATGACGAAGACGACAGCGATGATGATGATGATGATAACGATAATGATGACGAAGACGACAGCGATGATGATGATGATGATGATGATGATGATGATGATGATGATGATGATGATGATGATAACGATAATGATGACGAAGACGACAGCGATGATGATGATGGTGATGGTGATGATGATGAGTGAGTATGGTTTTGCGCCGCTTTTAGCAATATTCCAGCAATATCACGGCGGGGGACACCAGAAATAGGCTTCACACATTGTACCCATGTGGGGAATCGAAATTGGGTCTTCGGCATGACGAGCGGACACTTTAATCACTATAGGCCCTGATGATGATGATGATGATGATGATGATGATGATGATGATGATGATGATGATGATGATGATCTAACGCACGTTTCCAATAGAGGCGATTTCGCTTTCACTCAGTTGTGTGTTTCTGATGTTAAATTATTTTGACATTTTGATAATTTTATGACCTGACATGGCACGATACATGGAACTATCGATTGCGATGTTAAATGTTCTTGGCTTGCCTTTATGCAGAGCACAGTAAGATACATTTACATATATTTCTATTTACGACCAGCTAAGACTATTGATTATTCATGTACGTAAGGATTTCATGATAAAGTCGGTGGCATAACATATACGTCACTCAGTAATTTCCTCGGTGTTCGTTGTCAAGACCTTGGAAATTATAAATGTCATTTTAGACCTTTTGTCTTGTTTAAAATATTTGAGTTTATTTAATTCAAATTAAAAAGTCACATTCACTGTTTATTGTTTAATGCCGCACACAGCAATATTCCACCTATATTGCGGTCTGTAAATGATCGATCGATCATGAGGATCGATTTGATCCCGTTAGTCGCCCTTTACGACAAGCATGGGCTGTGGAAGACCAATTATAACCCGGATCTTCACGGGGTTTTATTCTCCGAGCCATGAGGAGTATATATACTCACTGTGCGATGTATGAGGAGGCGACGCGCCTCAACCGGCTCCACTGAGTTTAGCAGTTTTAGTGCTGTTTTCAGTACTATTGTTATTATGATTATGATTAAATAGGGAAAGCAAGACACATACTTTTCTGAAGGTAACGTGTTTTTATGGAAACCTGTTGATCACTGGATTGTGTGGTCCAAACTCGTTATTTTACAGGCCGCTGCCATATACCTGAAATATTGCTGAGTGCGGCGTTAAACAAACAAACAAACAAACAAACAAACAAACAAATAATTTAATCCTGTTGATTTCAGACAAGACAGTTTAGAATACATCCGCTCGGGTTGCCATTTTGGACCTCATTAGTCAGTTACCATTCATTGTATGTCGTTTTCGAAATATTGTCATCTCCCAACACTAGTGTATACCAGCATCGACCAATCGCCTTGCAGGACCCTGATGACGTCACACCTGCTGACCTCAATCCCGAGTTCGTGAAAGTTGAGACTGTGACGAAAGGCCAAGTGTTTGTAAGTACAGAAACTTAATTTTCAGCAGTGTAAAACCATGTAGCATTTCTCTATACAGAGTTACGCCCCTTTGGCGTGCCAGAGACCTATGTTTGTGGGTTGGAATTTCGGTTCGCGCTGATAATTTTTCCCGGTTTCGCTGCTCGTTGTTTTCGACAAATGTCTAATAAGTACCATATCACTTCGAGCTTTGCATGTTATGTTAACACGACATAACTGAAACACTGCTGAAAGCCGTGTTATTTCTAAAGCACTCAATATTGGGCTCTTGACGACGAGGCGTTCATTACACACGCCTTCACATTTATACATGTTGCCGTATAACTTAATACCTAATATGGAGGTAGAGTGGCGTAGTGGTTAAAGTGTTAAGTCGCTTCGCCGAAAATCTGGGCCCTTAATAGGTACAATGTGTGAAACATGTACTCAGTTAAGAGAAAAAACGCGAATCGCGTAAAACTGTGTTATAGTGGCAATAAGAGATTGTTGTCTACCCATGACAGCATGCAAAGACAACAACGGGAGTTTTTAAAATGAATACACAATTTCTATTTATAAACAGACGTGTTTTGAAATCATGTCAGTAAGATCGTAAAAGATTGCACTTTTTGCAACTTAAAGAGTCATGGGAAATGACATTTCAGTATCGTGTAACGCCTATTTTAGCAGCCACTGTGGTATCATCAGAACACACAACTGTCGGGAATGACTATCTGAGCATCGAACGCACACCACTTCCACTAGATGTATATCTTATTTTATGTAATTGTAATAAAAAAAATGTAATATTTGCGTTTCTTTTGGCTGTCAGTATATAAGGGTATCACCCCAATTGATAAATGTGACCTGTTCTTACTCGTCCAACTCATATACGTTAAGCCTGTGTGACCTGTGTGTGTGACCTGTGGCTGTCTCAGGGCCTGGCCGACCTGCTTCTGGGACGACAGACAAGTTTCTGCGTGGTCAGCAACGGCGCTGACTGCCTGCTCATCAACAAGCAACTGTACATGGATCACGTGACGGATGACCTCGAGCGGAGGACGAGACAACAGGTAACCTAACGCCGGGTTTAAGATTTTAACATATTTGGTATGAGGCCACCGGGAATCAAACCCATGGTTTTCCTCTCTCGGGGCCGACGCTCTGTCCACTAGGCCACCAAGGTGGACAGGTTATAGAAAGGCTTTAATCAGTGTTGTTTATTCACAACATGTTTAATGGGAGGGGGCCCGTGAATTCGAAGATTCAGGTTAGAATTGGTCTCGAAAGAGGCGATTAACGGGATCGGATGGTCAGGCTCGCTGGTTTGGTTGGCACATGTCATTGTATCCCAATTGCTTAGATCGATGGTCATGATGATGATTATTGGGTTGTCTGGCCCAGACTGGATTATTTACAGACCACCGCCATATAGATGGAATATTGCTGAGTGTGGCGTAAAATCACTCACTCTCTAATGAGAGGGAGGCAGATTTATGGCAGTAAGACTATTGTGTAGCGTTTGCTGACGATACATGACAACTGTCATGACCATGTGTCGAATTATGAATAATATCAGCTGATGCAGACACACTAAGGTACGAAATTATTCCTTGCTATTTGCAAGTAAAACATTATGTGATTTTACAAAGATCATATAACATTTAAATCAAAGTTCAACTAAAATGTACTTTAATCTGATACAACTGCAACATCATTCGTTCAAGTATTGAGCTACAGGAACATTTGTGACACTTGTTTTCTATTTAATCAAACTTACCGAACCCCTCTCGTTCGCAAGAAATCTCGATCCGGTTTGATGAACTTTTGAAACAAAAGCGAAAAAACATCTTGAAAACGTAAATATCGAATCCCCGATCACTGTTCGATTTCGATTCCGACTACATAACAAGCATGTGTATACGAAGTATCACGAAACGGTCTTGATACCATCTGTTTGTAAAAAGTTAAGGCTATCCTGCAGCATTTGTTTCACTTAAAACAAACAGATGGCAAACTCATCACCAAGTTCGATTCCCGACATGGGTACAATGTGTGAAGCCCATTTAGTGTGGTCCCCCACCATGATATTGCTAGAATATCTCATAATAACTCACTCACTTACTCTTGCCATGTTTGGGCTTTGCTATTCCGAGGAGAAATTCAGAAAGTAAACTTCGAAATATATTGGTTTAAGTTTTTGCCAGTGTTAATATCATGTACATGTTTCAGCTGTGTCCCTATCCTAGCGAGGAGGCCCTGCAGCGGAGTCTTCAGACCAGCGTTGACTGGAATGCATACAGGGAGGTAACTCTCGCCAACACACTCAAACTCGTTAAACAGAGAAAAACGGGAAGCGTGGCCTGAGACCACAAGGTCGAATACAATATCCGATCTGTTAAAAGAACAAAATGAAAAAGCATCATTATAAAGTTTAAGTCAACCAGTATTCCCCCGTTTATTAGTTAATTTGCTCTCATAGTCTGGTATATGCCCTTTCAGTATGTATAACCTTGCAGAGGAGACCCTTTTACTGGATAATCCTTGCTCCAACAAAACAACGCAATCCAGATTAACGGGTTTCAAGCTAAAAGAGCCATAAGTTGTCAAAGAGTAATTGATTCAATTGCTCGTGATACCTTTACACATATATAAGCAGTGACATTTGTTTTGCATTTATGTTTCCACGAAACGGCAAACCTGTGCGTTCTTCCATTAACAGACTTATACTTCGAGAATGGTTAATAACGAGTGAGTGATTGAGTTTAGTTTTACGCCACTTTTAGCAATATTCCAGCAATATCACGGCGGGTGACACAAGAAATGGGCTTCACACATTGTACCCATGTGGGGAATCGAAAGCGGGTCGAGCGAAAGCGTTAACCACTGGGAAACCCTACCACCCCGGATAATATCAAAATGAGCGGTACTTCTGACAGATGATTGTGCCGAACGATGCCACTGATTTCCTATTGTAGGTAGCACGTGTTAAGTAAGTACTATGAAGGTAGCCTGTGAATTTGTTGGACGATGTATTTATAAGAAATTACTTCAATATAATTTACTCTTTTAGAATTAAAACACGTATATTCCTCCGTATACGCAAAACGTGTTGAAGTCAATTCTCAGAGTTCCTCTTTTTGACCAGTGGGTCATTGATTAAAGCGTTTGTTCGTCACCAATAGACCCCACTTCGATTTCACGTATTGATAATATGTGTCAAGCCAATTTCTAACAGCATGAATTTGTTAGAATGTTGACACAAATGTCGTAGATAAACTAGTCTCCTTCTGAAATGGTTCTTGGTTTGGATTATCAAAGTCCTGAATTCCGAGGTTCCATTGTATGCCAGTTATCAACGTTGAAGCTGCAGAGGAATGCCTCTGAAAGAGCATAACTGTATTTCTACTGTGTAGCATTGTCTCCATTAGTGTGCAGATCAATATACGACAACGCAAGAACGAATTGCATCGAAGTGCAGTGATACATGGATGGTCGCGATATGCAACAGAGTGCAACAGTGTGCAAAACTTCCACCGTTACATATATCAGAGTTACCTGCAAGTGTACGTGTACTCCATCGGTGAAAGTTCAGTGAGAAAATACAACAAATGAGTCAGAATGTGCGCATGTGCATGTGCCGAATTTGCAGATATTTCGTTTAAAGATTCCTTCAGGAATACGTTTGGATTTTTCATGCATCTGAAATTCATAGTATGTGTCAAGTTAGGTCCAACCCCGCCAGACAAACCTTCCCTTATGTTCTGATCGCCGTTACATTCGTTTGAAGTTATCCAACGAATCGACAATTCTTTTGGCTATACCCGGTTGCGCTAAGACGGAACCCAGTCGAATATAATGCCCACAAGGGGGCGCGAGTCGCTATTTGCATTGTCACGGAATAACACGAGTTGGTCACGAATGTATTTCATCTCAGAGCCTCGGTCTATAAAGCTACGTCGAATATAACGTCAATACTTTTAACATAGACTGCAGCGGTGACACTAAACTCGCTTTGTGGAACTGGGCCATCATGCCACGTCTACTGGTATTCCAGCCATGAGACGGCCAAAAGAGATCTCCCCATCTATTTTATATGATTTTCTTTTTCCTAATATACCCATTAGTTTGGACAGATCGAAATGAGATAATAAGTTATGAATTTAATGCTGAATGTTTACTAGTTATGCAATAACATGTGTATTTACGGTTATTAGAGAAGGCAGTTTTCAATGATAAGAAAGTGTATAATATAATGTATTTTATGATAAATATGTATATACAATGGATTGATAAGTTATTGTAAAAGTTGTTTACCAGATTGTTCAATCTTGGTAATATATCAATTTATATTATCCATTAAGAAAGTAGTACATATTTGGTGTTGTATCTTTATTCTTTGATGTTATTTGGGTGAGGTTTTCGGTGGCTTGATTAAAAGATATAAAATATGAAATTGTAGCTGAATGACACTTTAAGCGAACCAGGTGCACCTGTGATTATATTTCCCACTCGGCTTTCCTCGGCAGATGAAGTGATGGACTGATGATGAACTGTTAGTGTTCTGTGCTCTCTACTATTATATATATTGATATGCAAGCCAAACCAGCTGTAAAAACACGTCCGTCCATAACCGATGTTTACTTTGCAGGGCAGTTTATGGTTGGCGTTTGTCATGTAAACATTTCCTGGCACTGATTACATCAGTACTCGACTTGAATGTATTGATAATCCAATAAGTAAAACATCCCGGCTAAAATGTCATTAAAAATGAATAAAGTCAATTTTTAAAACGTAAAACAGTTAAAAATAGTTTTTTCGTTTCTAGTTTTTGGCTTTCTGCAATATTATGGAATTAGGTCTTGTGATGTTCTGAATGCTGAAATGTTGCTACGCATGTTTTCGAATCAGTATAGCTACATACTGTTCTGTTATATAGACTTGCCACGAAATTCTTTACTCGAACAAATGTAACCCATTTTATGTTTTCGACTGTATCATTGAGTAAGTGAGTGAGTTAGTTAGGTTTTACGCCGCTTTTAGCACTATTCCAGCAGTATCGGTTCCTCTGAAGCATACCTGCACGCGAACCCAAAATGAATGACGTACATCAAGTCATGTGTATTCGTCATACGAATTTGACAACACCACTTTTGCATTTTCCCACCACATCTATGACAGAAACACGCCATCGTCTTGTCTTTTATACTTAACCAATACAATAACAATTCGTGATACACAAGGGGGATGTTGGTAAAACGTTCGCTCATCACCGTGTTCGGGTTCTATTCCCCACATGAGTACGAGTGGTTTCGCGGCACCAGTGTTATTGTACTAACTCATTTATCTTACGGAACTCCGAAATATATCTAATCAGGTTATAATTCAGTTAACTTGTCCTTGGTACGTGTAGTGAATAATCTGACGGGCTACTGGAAAGAATTACTAAATTATTCTTACAAAGCAGTTAAAAATCAACTCTAGACTGCCAGAGTTAATTACTTTCACAGGTGACACAGTCAGTTGACGCGTGACGATCTTCAGCTTGACACACGTCATCCTATCCCAATTGTGTAGATCGATGCTCATGCTGTTGATCACTTGATTGTCAGACCCAGATTCGATTATTTACAGATCGTCGCCATATAGCTGGAGTATTGCTGAGTGCGGCGTAAACCTAAACTCACTCACTGACTTATGGGAGGGATGCGGCGTTAAACAATAAACAGGACAGTTGCATGTGCTTACCTGCGTCCGGTTAGCCTGCGAGAAACATATGATCTTAGTTTCTAATCTCAATTTATCTTTGATTATGTTAGTTATCTTAGCAGAGAATTTAAGTGGCGTGGTGGAAGTTTAAGACCTACAAGACGTTGGCATGTCAACCCACATAATAAAATCTAAACATTAATGTCTTCCCGAACGCCGGGGTAGATACAGGTTGTATACACGTTGCAACTGAACCGTGAGTAGACCTTAAGGCACACCAGCGGACTATGAAGACACTGCGTTTAAACACAACGAAACGCATCGTGTTTTCATACGTACAATGCATGATGTATTATAATAGCACAAAAACATATTTATTTTGGCAACACACATCAATTGTGACTCCATATATCTCCTGAAAGGAGCTGTCTTAATTCAGCCCCCAACAATGCCTCTTCATACAGATCTAAACGTTTTAAATAAGTCTGAAAGCTTGGCTTTCTTTGTGTTGAAAATGAGCAGAGGTGTATGTATGGAGCGACCGCCCATGTGTTTCTAAACATCAAGGTGCGCCTTTGGAAACGTAACACCAGTAAGCAGCTGTCCTTTAACCTCTCTTTCTCGGTCTACCAAACGACATTCAAATAGGTAGGCAAAGAAAGCCACACGAATCTGAAGAGAGAGGTTGGTTCCAGAACGATCATGCATATGCTAATCATACGCCCCGCTCTCCCGCCCGATCCAATATGTCTGCCGGGTGTATAGAAAAGTCACCTCGGGCAACGCATCTGAAAGTGGAGGAATGCCTGCCTGTTGAAAATTATCGATTTGGACAACGGTGTTATTTCTTAGCATTTTATCTGCTTAAAGAGAGTTTAAGCTATATGGTTTGAATATTGTAAGGACTGTAACGACTTTAGCTGACTTCTGACCTATCATGTGTGCACATGCGCAGACATGACGAAAAAGGCGGGTCTTACTGTCTCGACAGGCTCAGAGATTACCCCAGACAGTCTATGTATTCAGGAATGATATCATCCCCGACGGAGTCTAAATATGCAAGAAAGATATTCCCTAGTCTAAGTATTCAAAAATGATATCTCCACCCCCTGCCCTCGACAGTCTATGTATTTCTGGAACTGATATCCTCGAACACAGTTTGAGGATTCAGGAATGATATCACTCTATAGCTACGGAGCCTACGTTACGTATTCAGAGTGATATGAAAGAGACAGATGTTAACACAGAGAGACATTCATGTGTCACAATCATCTTTCTCATTACAATATATCTCTGGCTAGAGCAGGTTAGAAAGAATCTAGGCGTGGTTCACTCGCGGGGAAAATTTGCTGATTCAGACAGTGAGTGAGTGAGTTTGGCTTTAGCAATATTCAATCAATATCACGGCGGGGGACACCAGAAAATGGGCTTCACACATTGTACCCATGTGGGGAATTGAACCCGGGTCTTCGGCGTGACGAGCGAACGCTGTAACCATTGGGCTATCCCACCGCCCCATGACTCAGACAGAAAATAGTTGTTTATCTGCTACCACATGGATGATCGATCTACCAGTTTTTTTGTTCATACTGGCTACCTCATTATAGTTTCAAATCGGCTTCGGTGGTTCGAGTCTCACCAAACGATGGTACTTGTTATCACCATGCCTGGAGCGCGGTATTAGAGGGATATAAGAACTGGTTGGCATGGAGTCGGTGTACTGACGGGTATCCATCTCTATGATGTCGTTGTGTCAATACATACCGCTTGTATAGTGCCAGCCCAAGTAAGAATACACGTACGCACACACGCACACGTCGCTGCCAGTGCAATAATCCTGAACGCAACGTCGAGACGCTAAACCTGTCTCTGACATAGAAGGTTAAATTCAAGTTTGATAACCCATGTACACCTACACAATGTGGGGCGGTGGGGTAGCCTTGTGGTTAAAGCGTTCGCTCGTCACGCCGAAGACCCGGGTTCGATTCCCCACATGGGTACAATGTGTGAAGCCCTTTTAATGGTGTCCCTCATTGTGATATTGCTGGAATATTTTTAAAGCGGCGTAAAACTAAACTCACTCACTCACAATGCACGAAAGTCAGGCTTTGAACATCGCCTACAGAGGCGTAACCGAAGTTTTGAGCCACTGTGAAAACAAATGCATGCGTAAAACTCTGTCGCATTCGTGTTGAAACTGAGTGTGCCTGTTCTTTCTTTCCTCGTCATCAAATACATAATGTACCGTGCTTAGAGAATGATAAGCACAGAAACACACGTAAGTCAGGCGTGTACTGTTCAACCTCGTTAATCCGGACGCTACAGTTATCAGGAACATTGATCAGATAAACGCATTCCGTCACAGGCTGATAATCTTTGTGGCATAAGCTACA